ATTCTTTGGGTTGTCGAGGGACATCTATCACATCTGTAACGTCATTAATATTCTTATAGGTATTAGATATGCTACATGTCCGGCTCTCGCAAATGAACAAGCAATCACATACTCCGAAAAATCCTATAAAGTCTTTCCTCAATACGTATCTCCAAAATGTGTCTCTTGTGGTATCTCTATCTCACCTTATCGAGTAGCTATATCAAAATTTCAGATATACTAAAGAGAGTCTTACACTAATGTTAGAGGAAGGTGATGTTGCTGTTCTACTAAAAAAAAAATCCTAAATTGCATGTAGCGGCTGACAGCGTGTGCCGCCTGAATGCGAGCGAATGCATGTGTACGGGGGCCATACATGTGCGTTGAACATGGTGTACGGAGGTACAGGCCCACGCTGCTTATTAGTATTCCCGCGCGCTGTCCATATCATAATAAGCACATAAATAGGTTAAGTGCGGTCAGTCAGGTGACCGATTCGCTGCATACAGATGGATACTACCTCATGAGCGCTCACACTTGGCAACATAGGCAAAGGCAGTGAATGAATGCGCTGGCTTCGGCAAACTGAGCACCTTCCTTCTCATCTCGAAAGCAACATATCGAGTCCTAGAAAACAATCGAGATTCCATAGTTGTCTCACTTTTGATACCAATCTCAGCAAATCACGGGCCAGACGCTATCGGCACGACTGATGGCACATTTACCCTCATCTAGTGGAGAAGCAGGCGAAAGCTGCGCGGAAGAATTAGACGATGGGTATGAAATCTACCGGCTCGGATCTCTCTGTGTCACAAGATATAGAAGAACCAAGACGGCATCGGACCTGCAAAGAGCCACCCAACACTTTCGGGACGCGTTATGTCGGATGCCAACTGACCATCCTCGACGTCTTGATGTGCTTGAAGATCTAGGTTCTAGTTATAGCGTCCTATTTCAAATAACAGGAGCACTACATTATCTGGAGAAGGCATCGCAGCTGAGCCAAGAGGTTGTCGACCACACCTTACAGAACCATCCTGAACGAGTTCCTCGGCTATTGGACGCTGGAATCGATCATATGGATATATATAGCAACATTGGTGACGCTACGCATCTGGAATTAGCCCTTGAAGAATTTTCCAAGGCACTCGATGCTGCAAAAGACAATCACCCGCGCCTCCACACCTGCAATTCAAGTCTAGCAATTGCGTTCAGGTACCGGTTCTTCAAAGACGGGAACATGTTAGATCTGGATGCAGCTATCCGACATTTTGAGCAGGCCATTAATCTGGTCACCCTCGACCATCACAAACGAGTACGCTGGATTCAAGATGTTGGCGCGTGCTACGTGGAGCGGTTTCGGAAAACACAAGATATTGCGGATTTCTCCCGGGCAATTGAAAGAGCCGAAGAATCCCTCGAAACGGCAAAGGACGACTTGCTGGCTCGTTCACGTGGCTATAGCATTCTCGGATCAAGCTATGGACTGAAGGCTGAACAAACTGGTGCCATGCAGGATCTCGAGCTGTCTATTCAGATGAGCCATCGTGCACTGGTGATAACACCGCCCGACAGTCCAAATAGAGCGCGTTATTTACACATCCTCGGTGCATGTCACGGCACCAAATATGGTAGACTTGGGATACCAAAGGATTTAGATATCTGCATTGAGAGGTATCGAGAGGCGTTGGACAACACCCCACACGACAGTTCTGATCGTGGACTACGGCTTTGTAGTTTAGGTGGTGCATATCTGGATAGATACCAAAGATTCAAGTCTTGGGAAGATCTGCATGATGCCATTGAAGGATTAGAGGAGGCTATTCAGACTACAATTACTCCAAGCGACCATCCAGATCGCGCTCGTCGCATCCACAGTCTCGGAATTGCGTGTCAAGAACGATATCTTGGAACAGGAAAGACTACAGATTTTGTTATTGCTGTTCACCATCTAAAAGATGTTCTCAAACTAACACCGGCCGATGACTGCAACCGGCCCGCTCGCTTTGATACCCTGGGAAGCATTCACCATGCCCACTATAAAATATGTGGTGAGACAGCCGACCTTATCAAAGCTCGAGACTATTACCAAGAGGCGCTTCAAATTACACCAAGAGATCATTCTGATGAGAAACACAGGCTCGGTGGTCTCGCTACTTGTTATCACGACTTATTTTTAAGTGCTGGATCGTTCACAGACATAGACTTAGCCATTGACAAATATCGAAAGGCGCTTGAGTTGACGCCAAGAGACAGCCCCATGGGCTGGTTTCGACTTCACAATCTTGGTATGGCATACAGGGACAGATACAGGAAGAACAAGAATGCAGAAGACCTGGAGGCGGCAATCCAACATTACCAAGCAGGGCTTGACCACCCAACAGCCTTTGCAGCCGACCGTTTAAAGTCTGGCCAGGATCTACTTATTATCTACGCCGATACCAACAGTTGGGCGTCTGGATATGAAATTGCCTGGAAAACATTGTCTTTTGTCCCACTAATTACGCCTCATGCCTTGAGGAATTCAGACAAGCAGGCTTTACTCGTGAGTATCGTTGGCTTGTCATCTATAGCGGCGAGCGTTGCCTTGATGGCGAACAAGTCCGTATTTGACACAATCTCGCTTCTGGAGCTTGGCCGTGGGATCATCATTGGCTCTTTGCACGAGATGCAGACTGATGTCTTGGAATTGCGTCAAGGTCATTCTAAATTGGCGGAAGAATATATCGAGCTTCAAGAGAAGCTACATGGCCCAAGCGCGTTGACAACTTTCGACGAGCGCTACAAGGCAGGCCAGCAGTATGAAAAGTTACTTCGAGAAATCAGAGACCTGCCCGGTTTCAGCGAGTTTCTCCTGTTCCCAGCACAGGACGATATCAAAGCCGCCGCTGCTTCTGGTCCCATTGTTGTGATCAATGTTAGCGCTTACAGGTGCGATGCTTTGCTCATTGAGCAGCACCAGCTAAGAGCTTTGCCTCTGCCAGACTTATGTCTAGAGGACATCAAGGATCATGCAACTAAGCTAACATCCCTCTCTACGGATACACTGGAGTGGCTTTGGGATACGGTTACTCGGCCAGTGCTGGAGGCGCTGGGACTTGATCAATCGCCCGGGGATAGTTGGCCTCGCATATGGTGGATTCCTACGGGGCCACTTACCAGCTTTCCTCTTCATGCAGCGGGCAACTATGATGATGACATATTAGAGACAGTTCTCGACCGTGTAGTTTCGTCATACAGCAGCTCTCTCAAGGAGATAATAAATAGTCAACGAAGGAATAAGACTCGGGATGTACCCATTGGCCCCAAAAAGGTGGTTTTGGTTGGCATAGAAGAAACGCCGGGCCAAAGCCGTCTCGAATTTGCGTCGCAAGAAGTCGAGCAAATCGCAAAGCTTTGTAAGTTTTCTCAGTTCCATATCAGCATGCCCAAGAACCAACGAGAAGATGTCTTGGCTCAAGTCAATGGCTGTGACATCTTCCATTTTGCTGGCCATGGGATGAGTAACTTATCCAACCCCCTGAAAAGCTCCCTGCTCCTTAGCGACGGGTCCCTGACGGTGTCAAGACTTCTTGAAACCGACCTACGGATTCAAAGACCATTCTTGGCCTATCTTTCCGCTTGTGGTACCGGCCAAGTGAAGCAAAGGCGGCTTGAAGACGAAGGGATTCACCTGATAAGCGCCTGCCAGGTCGCCGGCTTCCAACATGCCATCGGCAGTTTATGGGAGGTCAACGACGAGTCTTGCGTACACATTGCCAAGTCAACATATGAGTGGATCATCAAGCATAATCTGAGCAATGATTCTGTCTCCGAGGGACTTCATCACGCATGCAGGAAGCTACGAAATGAATGGATGTCTAAAAATTCACTGGACGCTAAAAGGTCTCGGAAACCAGGCGTAAAACTTGGGGACATAGACCCCCCATATTCTATTCAAGATGTCCTCCCAAGCATAAACCGGCCAAGAGACGCAAGAGATATCTTGTATTGCGGTCATTCCCCGCTTCTCTGGGTTCCTTATGTCCATTACGGAGTCTGAATGTGATGGTAGTATCTAGTTGATATGCGAGCTTTCCTATTTATGCAGAGAATTACACAACGGCGTGAGAAGACTTGAGCGCAAGACGGTGTCTTGAAGATATCATCTTGCACACTTCGGTATCATGTCATCGCAATTGTATGCTTATCATCAAGAACCACTAAGCATGTCAAATAGTGTGACACGCTAAACTGAAAATTCTGTTCAATGGTAACGACCAGCGGCAGAGTCCAGGATGCCGTTGCTGCGCACGCCTCCCAAAAAGTGACGCGCAGGATTATTGTTTTTCCTCTGATCCACAGCTAGCGTATCGGCCCCAGCGCCCTGCTTCAAGAAGAAGCCAATCATGTCGATACTCTTTGTAATTAAGGCTCTTTGAAGCAGAGTATATCCACCACCCATGTCTTCAACGCCATACAGAGAGGCTGATTTCGTAGAGAAGGCAACCTTCCACTCCGAGAGACTCACGTTAGCGCTATATCGAACCCATTTAGATAGCACCGACGGACTTGTCGTAAACGAAGGATACTCCCTAGGGCTTTTCTTTAAGCAAGGAGAATCATCGGGTACCTGAAAAACGGCCAGGCTGGAAACCTGCAGCGCGGCAGAGCTCTCGTCTCTGAGCTCCGCTTGTAGGCGACAAATTACAGCGCGGACACAGCCAGAGGCCGACCAACAGCTACCGTTAACGGTTTAAGTGCTGTGGGTATTAACACATGCTCTTGTGAAGAGTGGCAGTTGTAGGTGGCCACAGCGCACATATTTTCCCGGCCTTCAAGGACAACAGCTAAGCGGCTGCCTTGTAAAAAGCCGCGGTATGAGCGTGGATACGCGACAATCCACGAGTTTTCCGATACAGAACTATGTGTACTCGTGCTGAGAAGACACCGCTTGATCGTTATCGTCCCTTGCTTGTTAACAGTTCAACCCCGAATGTTCATGGGCTTTGGTCCGGGCCATGATTCGAGAGAACATGTTTCTAGTACCAGGGCATATAGAATTCCTTTGCCCATCCTGCCAGGCAGCAAAGGCCAGCAACAATCTGGTACATCTTAAGAATGCTCTGCATAGACCCAAACTCCTACTCAATCCACAAGATAGTACAATAAACTGTAATATTAGTGCCATCTTCCAGGGTTATATTCTGAGGCTCCAACATAGAAAACACAAAAAGCTAATAATAGCCTTATATAATTACTCCCGGGAGGAAACCGAGTTAAAATAAAGCCGCTTTTACAGTATCTGTAATCGCTTCCTCATCTGTCCTATCAGGCTGAGTCGACGTAATCACCGCCTTTACAGCGGACTAGAGAAACCTCTACTACGCTACATACCATACACCTATCTGCAGCTGTACTACGTCCAAATCCTTACCAGAACGTTTCGTTTTAATACTCAGTGTGATAGGGTATAGCTGAAGAGGCCTGTAATCAGTGTAGTTAACTGTCTGTATAACTATACGCTGAGCAAGTACTCAGCACGCTTGAGCATCAACGTCGGAACCATCAAAGAGGTAAAAATCCACCATCTTTTACCTTGAAGAACAAGGTAGATAGTTCCTATATAGCTGGGCAGTTATACTAAAAATCTATTAGCCTCTGAGAAAGATCCGTTCTTTTCTCATTATATATACTATAATATAAAGTCAAAGGGCTGGGTAGAGGGCTCTCCCGATCCTCTGAAGATGCTTTTAAGAAGCCGATAATATACTTCTATATTCCAGCTGAATTCTTCGTAATCGGAATTAAAGTATTCTATCGCCCGCTCACAGACAGTATTAAGTTCTTCCCAGCTCGGTACGCAGCCAGGCAGAGTATTTATACCTTTATCCTTAAATACAGAGCGCCAAGGTTTTATATTCAGCCCTTATTCCTGAAGGATCTGGATAACTTCACTCTTCTTATCGTACAGCAAGATATCAATACCCATATCGATCTCAAGCAGCTCCTGCACCAGACTAGCAGCTGCAAGCGGAGGATAGTCGTTATCGAGCTGCTTACACTCAAGTCCTCCGATATCCAAATTCAAGCCCATAAATTGTCTCCGGGGCGATAAGGCTTGTAAACAGGTGTCTCCCTGCTGAGACAGTGGCAGCAAGACGGACAACAAAGAACTCAACTGGGAGCCTGTCCGCGTACCTTTTGCTTAGGGTATTTTATCGTTATCGCCAATTCTTCGTCTTTTTAGCGTAGACATATACTCCATCCCACTTATACCGCCCGCTGAGTACGGAGGAGTGAGTCACTAGCGCCTCGATTTTCACTTGCACAGGGCTGCACAATCACCTTCGGGATGGTCCAGCACGTTCTCAAGCCAGAGATAAATTCGGCTATCGTCTAACATGACGGAAAAGAAAAATGTTCCCCGAGGCACGGCATTGGTATAATTTGGCTGGGTGAAGTGAACTATTGGAGGCTGGAACTTTGAAGTGGAACAAAGATTACCATGGCAACGTGCGATATGCGGGATGAAACGGTGATTGGCCAGGCTTTCTCGGCTTCCGGAGCTCGGTCTCGTTATAATCCGAAGTCTCCTGACACCAGCCACACAAGCCACAAAGCCAAGCCACCTGAGCAATAATGTTTAGTAAGCAGAGCAACAGCAAGACCCACCCCTACCCTACAGGCCAGGAACAAGTGAAGGAGTTGAAGACTTACAATTGGCTTTATTATCAGACATGTATTAGCATGAGAGCAATTCTATATTTATTCTAGCCTTTTGTTATCGAACCTTACCTTGACTCAAGTCATAAGAAACGCTGCGTTGTAGAGCTAGGTACCTAGTTAATGTTGATGCAACGTGAGATTGCTTTGCAGAAAGTGCGCTACTTTCTTAGTGGCTCAAGCAATTATCATTCCCCTGTCACCGAGACTGTTCCAACTGTAAGCACGACGGCCATTTATCACGATGCCTATTGTAATGAAGTCTGGATATCAACTGCTAAGTTACGGATGCCTGGTCCGTGGGAATAACCTTACTGGTCTCGATGAATATGGTAGAAGTTTCATCATGGTAATTACATCATCAGTGGGATAAGTGGAACTCAAATGGTTGGGAAAGCATCATTGGTTGACACAAAACCGTTAGATTAATTCGCCGAATGTTTTCAACCTTCAGCCCCAGCCAATCATAAACTTGCAACGTGACGCGTCAATCTGCGACAAAGCGCGTTCATAGTACGGGCTCATCGTTTCCTACCTAGGGACCTGAATATTCAGGTCACCATTGGCCAAGCCAGAGATTTCTATGACACCATCAGGAGGCTAATGAGCAACCAGATGTCATCGCTTCCCACTAGAGTCACATGTCGTTGGGACCCCTAAGAGGCCACCAGCCACGGCTCCGGCTCCGGCTATTTCAGATGAGCGCAGGTCAGCTTCGTAGCAATCGCTCGTAGGGATCTCAACTTCTCTACTAGACTAGTTTGCAACGGCCATTAACCTGGACGTACATAGAGTCACATGCTCACGAAAGGATTACACGCAGATTGCAGCAATCATTGAGAAGGCATTGGCTTGCCAACGGGAATGAATGTCGGTGAATTGCCGGACCTTGTATCTCATAGCTAGATATATTTACTAGGGGTGAACATTGACCCAACCTAAGTAATTAGATTATGGAGGAGGAAAAGCGACTTGAAGATGATGACACACGTGACTATTGACCAGTCAAGTGTTGCTTAATCCTTGGATTCTTCCTTGAGCTCTCGCTTCTTTGCCTCTCGTTTGAAGCCAATATGGATGCCAATGAACATGAAAAGGGAGGCGACGGCGAACCCAAGATAAGGTTTGGCCCCAATCTTCCAGTTTGGTGCTTCAGATGCAGGAAAGGCTGCGATCGGGAGAAAAGCGCTGAGGGCATAGAATATGATGGTTCCAGTAGCGAAAAGAAGTGTCCGAACTTCAGGCTCTCCCCGTAAGTGATCCGATGCCCACGCGCACAACAGCATCATCGAAACACTAATCCTTATCAGCACGAGCGTGATTGGTATTATGATAGGGTTTCTTACTCTCCAATATAGTTCAGGTAATACCCAGCCATATGAAGCTGTCTGTTTTGGGGTCGGGCAATAATAATGGACAGTGATGTAAGACTAATCGCCTATTGCTTGTTAGCTAGACCTCTCATTTGTATGTGTAGTATCTAAGCCTGTCTTACAGAATGTAATACTAGGAAAGGCAATCTTTGACCAGTCAGGTCACTGAAGCCGCTGAATAGTAACTCAGCAACTAATTGAACGGCTTGCCCAATAATAGGTAGATAGTTCAACATGGCTACGGAACTGCCCTGTTTGTTAGCAGCTTAGAGGTAAGATCGTTATTAGAGGGGAGACTGACTATGTCAAAGTTCCATCCGAATTTTTGAGAGATTGGAGATAGAGGTTGAAATAGCTGGTTGGCGCGGTGTTGCCACCAAACGGCCATGCAACTGAGACAGTTAGACTTTATTGACAATTTGAGGATGGTAGACGGCGTCTTACTTGCAACAGCCCACAATTCCCAAAACGTAAAGGCTCTTATGAACGACTTGACTGTGAGTCCTCTCTGAGGCTCTCGGCCGATACGGCGACTACGGGCGAGTGCAACATCTTGAAACAAACCGTTAGCACACCCAAGGTATTTTGGGATACTGAGGTGACTTACCGTAGTCCTGTCGCCTCAGATACCAGCTCGCAAGCTTGTTTGGGCGTTCGGGCTAGGTGTCTCGGTTTAGTCCTTACTCTCTTTGGCAACATTTCTTTTCGGAAACAACTTACATATCCAGGTAAAAGGACGTATCCAAGAAGCGCAACGACAATTGTGCAAACGCCCTGTCTCAAGTTAGCTCAATAATCCAAGAATTATAAGATTGCAACGAACGTTGATAACAAAGGCCCATCTCCAGCCGCTTCGATTCATATGGCCCTCCAAGTTGGTGGACAAAGCGCCTTGCATTGCGCCTGATAGCATAGCTCCGGCTGGTTGAGCCATATTGTAGATGCTCATTCGGAGAGCTACTTCGTTGGGCATGTACCACTGGCTGTTATGTTCTAATTAGACTCCTCCCGGTAATAGATACACCGTGCAAAGCATACCTGATCATTGTGAAATAAGCCGGCCACATTGTCGCTTCGCAAAATCCGATAAAGAAGCGAATTCCATATACCTTTCGATTTGTGAGCATTTACCCAGGACACTAGGTTCAAAGACTTTACCTGTCGTGCATCTGTTACTAGGGACAAGCAACAAGTAAGGACTCCCCATATGAGCTGAAATAAATATTAGCATGTTCGAAATCTAGATAAATAGCATGAAGGACAAACTTCGCAGGATGGAAGCCAAATAGCAGGACCAATATGAGATATAAGAATGCAAGAAGGAAAAAGCATTATCATGTATCCGATACTAAACAGTGATGTGTTAGGCTGGGCTTGTTCGGCAATGGCCAGGACAACTTTAGACAACAACTTACTTAAAGAATGTGGTGAAGTAGTTGAGTTCGTTTCCGTATAAGTGTAAATCCGTTTGCATACCTGATACGTACGCGTTGCTCTAAATAAGCACCATTAGCAAAGCAACCTTGGATGATACCCGGATCTACTCACAATGTTGGTCTGGTCTATATACTTGAACATATAGCTCAAGAATCCAATAGTGAGGAATCCTAGGTCAAGTCTCCAGCGGAACTGGTTTTCCGCAACAGGATCGATGTCGTCGTCTCTCTGATCTGTCGTTACAGCCATATCCGCCTTCTCATTGGTTTCAGCAATATCAGCCGACAAATCACCTGGATGAGTAGTTGCCATGATTAACGCCGTTCGATGATTGAGTTATATGGATTGTTGTAATGATTTCTTTGATTCCCGTAGTGAAATGAAAAGGAATTCAATATTTTATATAAATCTTGGTTATCGGGAGACTCTTACACTTCGGTGAGATGGTGTCATCGGCCAGGGCAACGGTGTGCTCCAGGAGTCGTGTGGATACAAGCCCACATATTCGGTACGCTCTACAAACATTCGATTTCTTAGTATCGATAGACTCCACTCTGTATGAATGCAATATCGGGTTTGTATCCATAGTGTCGGTTTGTTCAACATTGCCGAGCGCAGTTGGTACAACATGGTCATTCCCTGGAAGAACAGTGATCAAGTTGTCATAAGATTTAGGGACGTAATACGGCCAATAATTTAGCATATCAATGCCACTAGACCACCGGAATACATGTGGAATGGCTCATCTTATATGACCTACTGACACCAATTTAGCATATCATGACACCTTTCCCCTGGCATAATCAACAATTAAACTTCGTAAGCCGCACCAATAGGTTAGTATCACCAAAATATTCTCGCGTATCCATGACTGTTCTGCTACAGCCCTTCATTCTAAATCCATATGAGAGCAGAATAATCGATTTCAACTTTACATAGCTCGACTGAATACGCAATTTCTAGGCATATCGATGCTCGTGGTTAAAAGCTTCAATCTTCGAGACGGCTTTCGTCAAGATCCCATATTCCAGTAAACATATCTGGCCAGGGCGCCTGATTATCATCTAGGAAATTCCCAATTATAGGGTTGTCAAAAATATCAACACTTCCACTAACGATAGATTTCTCGGGTGTGCTCTGTATTCCTTGATCATTGTGCAAATTGGTACCCGTTTGAAAACTTTGTGCCCTGTTTGCCGGGTTATCCTGTTGACTTCCAGCGGATTCCGCAGCTTGGGGACTGTCGCTTGACGTGTTAGTAGTGACTAGGCTGCCCTCAAGTTGGCATTTGTTGCGTAGAATTGCGACACGCTCCTGAAGATGTGATAACCTTTCACAATAGTCTACAGAAGGCACATTTCCATCCTTCTTCATAGACTGCAATACAGCCAAAAGGACATTTAATGCATCAGAAGTGGCAGCATCTGGCTTTAGGGCTAGTGATATTACCAATATCAGGGCAGCCGAAAAGAAGTGATGTGCATCCCAATAGCCAAACGTCGCAAGTGAGCCATCAAGGAAGAGCCCCTCTGCAATCCGGCTCGAAGCCTGTGCCGCATGAACACAGCTGTCGGCCAATGCCAGAGTGATTGGTGAAAGGGTGTTTGATCGTTGGGCTCGAGGAGTTGTGCTGTTGCAATTGGGTCGAAACTGAGCTTTGAAAAGATGCAAATGGATCGGTCTAGTCGTTTGGATGATGCATTCATTATATGCCAAGTGTAGGCTCAGGACGGGCCGAGGCGTGTTTTGTTCTCTAAGACGTACAGTCGGTTCTAGTTCATCATGCCATGCTCGTAATTTCTTGAAGATCGTGTATACTCGATGTATATATAAACCATTTGTACGCTCAGGAATCCCATATATATCGGTTACTGGAGAAAGGAAGTTAGCTTTGTTATCGATGATGGCAAACAGGGATGGGGGACCGCCAACAAATATTCCCAATGATGCGACCTAACTTTACGTTTGCGACCATTGGTATAGGATCCAGAAAATCCGTCTTTTCTTCTTCTGTCAAGCCATCCATACTTGGGAGTTCGACATCAATGTCTTTGTCCCTGATAGTTATCGGCTGACCGAGTTTGGAAGCAGAGACACGCTCGAGAAAATATAAAACCCACCAAGTACGTCGGCGGCATTCTCTTTCAGCTGGGCTCAATGTGATAAGTTTGGAGGCTGATCTATGTAGACCCATACTCGTCGCGATCTTCATAGCGTTACCGATGTAGCTAAATGCGGTCATGACACGACCCAGAATGTTCGAAGACCATGCCTGACGAAGTACGTGAGATTTTATGTAGGAGAGATGAGTTAGGCATTACAAAACTTACCAATAATATTAATACCTCCACCTGAAGCAACGACGGCTCCTCGAATGCTTCTCGAAATACATTCACAGCTTTAAAATAATAGTCTGTTCCAGGAACTCTATTATCACCCACCCCTCTTCGGTTTGTGTAGATTTCTCCCAGGCATAGCAAGCTATAGAACTTGCATAGCCAGAGGTCTGAAGGCATCACCTCTTTTCGGTACACCACGTCTACTTCCCTCATAAATGATGCCTCTAGAAGTGGGAGAGGGTAACTACCGATGAAGCGCCGAGCAACATTTAGAAGAAGCCTTGCATGCGTACTCTCGGGAAAGTCGGTTCTGGGATCTAACGATAGCTGCTGGTATCTGGGAACTCGATAATAGTTGGAAAACGCAACGGTTGCTAAAGGATAGCTATCGTCAAGGCATTGTAAAATCCTGTTGTGAAAGGCAGCGCAAGAAGCTTCACCAATAAAAGCTGGCTCAGAAGCTCGTTCGTAAATGACGTTCTCTAGCTGTCCATCAAATATGGGATTAAGCATGCTGTTTTCCTCACGCGAGAGAGCCGGAGATATGTCCTCATGGTCCTTTTCTGAGAATGCCTGTTGATTGATCTGGGTGGGACCTTGGTTGCTGATTCTTTCAAGGCGTTTGCTGTCCGCTTCGAGTTTCTTTAGATAACTTCAATTTTTTAGCGATGAAAATAGAAAGAGAGGACCAAAGAAAGGATGTTACCTTTCCGATATTGTGACCTTTCGTTCTTTGACAGGGAACTCGCAGCTCCCCTCGTCGCTGGACGAGATACATGATTGGCATGGGCGGCTCCCAGAACATTTGATCTTGTGCAAGTGGCATCGATGGCAGCTGGAGCAGTCTGTCAGCACGGCCAAGGAAACCTATAATTTTACCTACGCTGCAATTAATCTTTTCGCTTTTCGACGGCCCTCGGCGTTCATATCGAGGAGTAGTATAAATGGGGTCTGGGAATCAAATGACGCTATATTACCCCTGGACTACTAACACTGGTATCAAGGTCGTCAGAGAAACAATAGTGAAGGGCGGTTTACTGGTTTCTCTCTACTGGTATTCGGTATCATGCTACGAATTATTTCACGAAATTTCTGCTCCCCCAACCATCACGTACAGAAGCTGTAACCTTGCTAATGAGCAGAGCACGCAATCGTTGTTTTGGATTGCGCCTACAAGTGTGGGTATTCTCTCGGCAACTGAAAAGTTGCCGATCATGCACGAAAATATTCTCGGCGTTCTTTCGGCTTCAAGTGATGATGCTAATACGTAATTACCATAGCGTCTCAAACTCAATGCGGCTAGTTATCAAATTAGTCGATGAACCCACGCGGTTGGAAACGGCAATTAGTTGAGCGCAGTTCTGACCAGCAAAACTTGGTCTAGAAGCCTCTTAATGTGAGAGATTCGAAGACGGGCACAGGCCGCTGACCAGACCCCATGATAAAGTCACACTGTATCCGTCTGATGAGGTGTCTGCTTCAAAGCTGCCCCCTAGCTTGAAAAAAAAAGCAGTTCATTGTTATGGCTATCTGTACCACTGGAAAACGTTCCGATGTATGGTGAGTTATTGATTTTCTCCAAGTGGAACACCCATGCCATGTCGTCCGGCGTAAGCAGACTTCTCTGCCGGGGCCCACCCGCTTGTTTCAAGCAGATTCTCATCTGCAATGCGGAAAACTTCCACCTTGAGAGGGCGACAGCACTTAATCATCTCCTCTTCGCTATCCTCGCCGAAGCCCCAGAGAGACAAGTCACCACCAGGGCACGTGCCTGAAATCATCAGCTTCCGGGAAACAGAGTATTAGGAGAGATGAATGGTCAATCGGACTTACTGAGAGCCATGAGCAAATCCTGCTCAGCAAGGAACTCCAGGTGGTCACCAGGTTCAGCAGGCGAGGGGTTCATGAAATACCGACCCTGCTCATCAAGGCCAGTAACTTGGAAGATGTTGATTACATCATGAACATCTTGCTCGTTCAATCCATAGGGGATAACTGCCCGTGTTAGATTTGAATGGCATTGATAGTTGTACTGGCCTCCGCTCAAGACGGTATTGATATACGGGTCGCAGCGAGTGCCTAGTAAGTCATGCACCCGACCGCCATGCTCGTCTTCACCGTACCAGGAGAGCGTGTCCTTGATTATGGTGGCAAGAGGACGCATGTAGGGAAGGTTAGACCAAAGTCGGTCAAAAGTCGAGACATGGGAGGCGTGAAGCTGCTTGGTGCGGCTTGCCCAAAAACGCTCCCGTGGGTTATGGAAGTTCCAGATGTTCAAGTCCCCTATTGTGCAAAATCATTTTGTCAGCATCTGCTACTTGATAAACCAACACATTCACATCTGGTAGAAATGAAACTAGTGTGCCACCGAATTAAGGCTATGCGGGTTTGCCATTCATACCAACTTGAGGGCCTTCGGGGGTGCTGATTTTGACAATTGAGCCTGCCGGGGCCTTCCATGCTTTCCCTGACCGGATGGGCAACGTGAACTCTTCAATTAAGACTCTGGGTGCCTCGCGAAGCCTGTCATAAAGATCACGGTTCACCTTGAGTGGGGAGGCATCACTCGAAGGCAAGTAAGCTGGAACAGGCTTGGGGATTGGTTTGCGGTTCGCGCGCCGCTCAGCGTCCGATGCGGGCATTTTGGCGGTGGTGAATCTTGGAGTTTGAACAATCTCACCAACAAGAGACATTTAAACCTCGCAGGATAAACTTATAGATGGTGAAATGCCCCACTAGGCAAATCCACTTCGGCATAAGAATAGTTGCCGCTGATAACAGCAACGGCCGATGCTAAAGCCCGTACACACACGTTATCTGCAGATGTTGGCATTTTATGGTGCAGAGCTCAACTAGTAGATAGGTTTATCAACAAGAACAAGGTTTCCCCTCTTTGGTTCATTAAATGTCTACCATGGACGGTAAAGAACTGCCCATGTGAGAGAACCCAAAACAACGGCAAAATAATGTTCCGGGACGTAATCTGATTGCTCCATTCGGTTTAGTGGACAATCGGAGCACTCCTCCTCACCGCTCGCTTCGACTTGTAACATGATTTCAATCTTATCTATTCATAAATAAACAATGTCAATAACATTCTAGCCTTCAAAGCTCGAGAGAAGTCTTTTTTCGTCTTTAGAATGAAACAATCATTTCTTACTGTGAAAAACGGCAAGCTAGCTGTAGAAGAGCCAGAAAGCGAACCCAGGATCGTTGCACCGCCCCGACATAAGGCTGATCATGAATGGGAGCCGAGTCATCTGGACGCCATCTGCGTTGAAGAGTTCATTTTCAGGCTCGCCACATCCTCCGCTATTCCCCCAGCACCCGATAGCAGAAGGCGGCGAAGAACCCTGCGCGCTGCAAGGCGGTTCACAAACCAATATCAACTATCCAACGACAATGGCATTTTGACATTGAAAAAACGGGTGCTTAGCTTCGAAAAGGTGCTGCTGTTAGGAGTACACGAAAAGACCATACAACAGCAGGGAAACTTGAATCATAACCTATCGCTGCTGAGACTTCCCGCAGAATTGAGACTTCGAATCTATCGCCATCTTCTACTTAGAGCGGCCCGGTATCCTATATTTCGTGGGGCCCATGGCTTCCATATCCAAATCGGTGATTGGAGAATGGAACGATATGGCGGCGAGCTATGGCCTGAGATCCTTGCGACCTGTCGACTCATTCATCGAGAGGGGACACCAATACTCTATGGCGAGAATATGTTCAAACGGGCGTTCTCCTGGCCAGCGAAACCCCCTTTTAGCTATATTCCCTTGCCCCGCTCTCTTACTTCCAAACTTAGCAATGAGAGCGTATCATACATCTCCGCAATCTGGCTTGAATCCCAGTCGGACATGTGGCTTGATGATCAAAAGGAGCTAACGGTCTTCCAAGATTTCCCAGGCTTACAACAGATTGAGTTTAATATTCCATTTTCGCCATATAGTCCCCAAAAGCGGGAGGAGGGTAAAATACTGCTGGAAAATTGCCTGATGTCAGTCGATCGGAAATCAGAACCTCTGAGGCGCTGTAGCTTCTACCTTCAGCTTCCTTGGGATTCCGATTGGAGCGCTTGGTCAAAAGGAGGAGCAGAAGGTTTTGGACCACACCTGAAACTGAAGGCAAATTTGGACCACATCATGAAAGTAAACTCAGTATTTTCTCACCAAAGGATTACATGGCATTTTAGATCATCATTTTCGGAGTATTGTGGACCTGATGGGAGCGTTGAATTTATAATTGAGGGTGCCAAACCAGACGAGGAAGGCTCTAGGAGATCAGACATCAGATGCACGGTCTGTGTCGATGGTACAGATACTCATACGAGTTTGGAGAATCGTGTGTAACCAAACCTTAGGGCAGCCTTGTACCCCTTGTTAGGTGGATAGTCTAGTTTTATCGCTGAATTAGGTTTGTTGGTTGTTATTATAGCTTACCTATTCTAGCTCCCTTAGAGTCCCCCTTGTCCGTTATGATAATTTGTCTGCTGTTTTTCTTGGGTGACTAGAGAACAAGAGAAGACATGAGTTCGTATAATGCTCTCTATGTGCTCAATGAAGATTTCAACTCAGACTTGCAGCATATCCAGAAATAGATGGCTCGGAAAGCGTTCCTGCTTCGGGGCTTACGATTGTTAAATAATTTTTATGTATCCAACATTATCTTTCACAACGATCTCCGTTCCAAACAGCTTCGAAGTGTTCTGCAGATGCGCTAAAATACGCTGAGCTTCTGCCACTGGCGCCAGTTTCGGCATGGTGCGATCTGGGAGAGATGTATCGTTTGTCAACTGGTTATGCACAAGGGGATGCAGGAGAACCTCGGCCGGCGACCCGTTCTCAAACTTGGTCTCGGCGATTATCCCGTCGTCCCACTCGATTGGAAGATTGTATCCACGAAACGACAGCCCGAGACTATAAGTGAGAGACCCCAAGCCGTAGAAGATGGGGCGTGAATTGTAGACCTCAATGCCTCTCAAAGTGTGCGGTCCATGTATTAACACCACATCAGCACCAGCATCAATTGCGGCGTGGCTGATGTTTCGTGAGTAACTGGCAGGTACACTGGATGCGGGCGGGAGAGGGATATCAGAGTCCGCAGCGCCTGATTCAGACTCATGAGCATGCAGCGAGAAGATTGTGGCGTCGGACTGTTTCTTCGCCTCCTTGATTGAATTCAAGATGCCAGTGTAGTCCTCCGGGTTGATGTCCCATGAAATAGACGATCCGGATTGTTCTCCTAGCAGCCAGTTGGACCAGGCAATCTGAGTCTGGCCAGTATATAACGTGATGCTAGTCTCGTCACCTGCCAAGATTTGCCCTTGAGACTTGGCAATGTTTCGAATCTGGTCAAATCCTGCGGCATCGACGACAGTGAAAGGTGTCGCACGAAGAACACTGACGCCAGGTCGAGACCGCAGGTGCTCGTCTGGATCTCCAGGCCCAGCAACGGACTGAGGAGTATGCGTACCTGCTGCGCTAACGAGTGCCAGCCGCCTGTTGCCCTTGGTAACAAATACCGCTCGTCGTGCTTCGTCGAGTCCAACACCGGATCCTGAAGTCGATATGCCCACCTTGGCGAGGTTCTCATGGGTGCTGATCATACCCGCCTCGACAAAGTCCCAAGCATGGTTGTTAGCGTGGGAGGCAAGGTTGAAACCGTACTTGGCGAGTAAGGCAGCTTGTTCGGGTGGGTAATATGGACCGCCACCGACGCCTCCGTAGAAGTTATCACCGCCGTTCTCAGAGGCAGGATACCCGGTGAAGGTCTGCTCGTTTAGTATCTGCCCTTCCATGTTGAAAAAGGCAAAGTCGGCGGCCTGGGTAATGTTCCATACAGCAGCAGTGCGAGTGTCATTTGTAGCGACTACGTCCCCAATCAAGTCTCCGGTTGCTGCAAGTGTCCATTGTCCGGGGGTTCTTGGAGCTGTAGCGATGCAGAGTGGCCATTGAAAAGCCAAGCTGGTGAAGGGGAGCATCAACCAGCGTGATGGCATAGCAACAACCATGACTGATGATGGCTTTGAATAGCAGTGATACACTGGGCCTGAACACTTGGCTTGTGGTTGTTCTAAAACTTGTCGAAACAATTGATATTATTTATGGGCTGTGAAGTGGCGTAGGGGCGGTTCCTGCTGCAATGAATGACCCTTTGACCCATCTTGTTTGAATGTCTGAACGCGCGGCCGAGAATACAAGCGCATCCGTGGTTGTTTCTCGGCCAGATCATGGAGCAGAGCCCGGACCGGCGACTTCTGCCGCTCACGAGAGTGATCCACCTTCCCGTTCGGGTATACGAGACCGCACGCTTCGACGCAGCCTTTTACTGTGGCCGCTTGGCTGACGTCTTTCTTCATGTGCCGACGACAGACTGCGGACAAGGGCACCAGGCTGGGTTAACTTTTGCTGATCGCAGCTCAGCCCGGCACTCACTTGAGAAGGGGTTCAGAACAAAGCCAAGATCTGCATGAGCAGACACGAGCACGAGACTACGCCTGAAGAGTTATAAGGTGCGGTTCGAGTTGCACTGAGTTTGTCCATCTCACCCTTCAATTTGGGTAGAAGCTATTGTTGCCGAGAGCCACTGTGACAATGATGTGGTCTAAGGCCTTTGTTCTGTCCTTGCAGGTGGCCTGCGCGACAACTTGTGCTGCCGAAGCATCATCGCCAGTAAACTCAACTCTGCCATCAATCGATGTAGAGTTGACTCCTATTTTGGATGTTGTGAACTACACGGGCATCAATGGAGAGCTTGTCATGGACATTCATTTTGCTAACAACGAGACCCTCCTCGTGCTACCCCTCGAAATGGCAAATGCACCATCTGCGCAGTATACCACCGAGACACTGGAAGCGTGGGACTGTCTTGGCCAGCTCAGGCTGACCCAAAGCGACGGCACTGGATCAGACAGCCAGCCCAGCAGGTTTTGGGCTGTGCAGAGAGCCACACAAGGTCCTGTGGTGGTCCGGTTCAAAGCGAAGCCGTACCAAATTGATCCGAACGCCATGGTTGGACCGCTGTTCGACATCCGCTCCAATGGCGACGGTCTCTTGGGCTCGACCTGGGCCCTTGTTCCACTACCACCTGATAACACAGCTCAGTATCAGTTCTCCCTGAGATGGAATCTCAAGCATTCGCCACAAGATGCCAAGGCCGCTTGGACGTGGGGTGAGGGCCCGGCGCCTGTCACAATCAGCGGCACTTCAGCAACCTTTCTTTACACGTTTTGGGCCGTCGGGTCAATGTCTGCTTACCCAAGCGACTCGGATTCTAAGCCATTGAGCCCAGATTACAGCATGTACTGGCTCGAGCAACCCCCCTTCGACGTGGACACGATAGCCGCGTTCGTGGACAAATTCTTCAACTATTCGTCGATCTTTTGGAAGGACACAAACGGAGAACCTTACAGGGTCTTCATTAGACACAACCAAGAAACCGGAACTGGAGGGACGGCCCTGTTGAGGTCGTTTACCTTTGGCTGGCACGACGCAAACAGCACGGCCGAGGACAAGCTTGAACTGCTCCTGTCCCACGAAATCACCCACAACTGGCCTCAAATTAATGACGTAAACGCTGCCGGAACTCGATACGCTGAAGGGACTGCCGAATACTACTCACTGAGGTTGTTGTGGCGAAATAATCAGATCTCAACTGAAACCTACCTGTCGGAAATGAATGCTAGACTCAAGACATATTACTTGAATCCTTACGTCAATCTAACTGATGAAGATGCGTATGATCAAGCATGGGAGGCTCGGCAAGCCCAGACAATTCCCTATGGTCGTGGACTCATCTATCTCACCAACCTCGATGCTCAAATGCGCGCCGTTTCAAACTCAGATGGTAGAGAAAGTCTAGATACCATTGTATTAGAGCTCTTGGATATTTGCCGAGCGTCTTCGTCTCAGTGTACTGAGGTCCAGCTGTTAAAACTGTTGGAGAAGTATCTTGGCCAAGAAGGTGTGGAGGAGTATCACGCTGTCAGCACCGGACAACCACTCATCCAGCCTCTTGAAGACAGCCTTGGCCCTTGTTTCGAGGTTATTGAGACACAGACAAACCCTGCTGTATTCCAATGGCGCTTCAGGGATGGCAAGGACGCCTCTAGCGAAGACTGCCTGATATAGACGCTTCTCTGGTAGATAGGGGCACACGTGATCTGTCTAATTGAATATATGAAACCTGTCTCATTTCCAGTACAAAGTAACGGTCAAATTTGTAATTTGTTCTATGGTGACGCTTCGCAGATGTTGTAACCTAACTTGCACACCCCTTTACTACCCAAATTTCATTGATATGTAAAGTAGATACTTGCAAATCTCATTTTCTAATCCACCGTCTTGAATTGATAATAGCTTCTTCAATAAGGCTTTCTGGTACATGCATCAAACAATTTTATATTTAGGATCTCATGTAATAAGCAAAGTACATTATCTCTTGCTTGAGGAACTATTTACTTGGTTACGAAGGACCGGTCTGATAATGCGGGTTTCCTTGTGGCTTTGGCTTGTGCCTGTAGCGGTGAAGTCGGAATAATAACATTCTATATTTATTGTGTTTAAGTACAGTTAATCATATCTTGCTGTGTGAGCTGGACCCTCTGTTCTTTAACTTTTCCAAGCGTTCAGTCTCTCTTGCATGGCCACCACACTACTTCAGCCTCTGTCACCATATTTAGGAAATCTAGATTATCAAGCGCGCGTCGTCCTACGAGACTCGGCTACTAGTTGAGAAAGGATAGAGTCCTTGTCCTTCAACAACTCCCCCGGCGTGGCAAAGTTGGTCACACGGCCATCATGCATAACAAGGACCTTATCATGTTCAAGCTGCACCCAAATCTTAGCACACACAGACCAATGTTGTGCTTGGAATTTACTTACAGCTGACTCAATGTGATGAGTAATTGTGATGACGGTGTGATGTCGAAATCTATGCTTTATCACTCGGTGGATAATCGCCATTGTCGGGGCGTCCATCGCCGCAGTAGCTGTATACACGGTTATCAGTCATGAAAGTCTTCATAGTCATAGGTGATATTACCTTCATCCATGATAACAATGTCATTCTTTTCTAAAATGGCCCGTGAAAGCGCAAGAATCTGGATCTGCCCTCCAGACAAGTTGGCACTAAAGCTGGTCAGCATATCGAGCCTAATTTGATAAGTTAAACATAGCACGTACCCAAAATCTGAGATCGGGTACTCCAGAGGATCTTGGTCTGGTTCAAGGTTGAAGATTCGACTCATCTGACAAAGTTCCAGGGCCTCGCGCAACTGTTCGTCGGTTCGTGCTCCTTCCAAGTCCAAGTTGTTGCGAACTGTACCGCCAAATAAAGCAGGCTCTTGCGGTATCATGGTGATACGCTTTCTTAAGGTCATGAGATCAATGTCTGAAATATTGAGACCGTCTATTTCAATGGTCCCAGCGAGACCTTGATGATGATGTAGGGCGCGAAGTAGAGCAAGAGTGAGAGACGACTTGCCTGCACCGGTGCGACCGACTACGGCGACGTGCTCGCCCGGTTGAATGGTGAAGTTGAGATTGTGTAAACAGGGCTGGTCATTGGGTTTATATGAAGCAGTGTAAGAGCTGAAAGTGATAGCTGCATTCTGCGGCCAGCTTGCCGGTGGTCTAATCTCGTCGTCGGGTTGGTTTTCGGGCTCTTCGGCGGCACAAGCCCACACCCTCTCCGCAGACGTAATATCTGCCTCGAGATTGGCGCGCAATTGGACCAGATTGTTGAACTGAGAGGTGATTTGAATCTGGAAGTTCATTACCAATCCCAGGGTACTTGCTGGCGTACGAAGCCAGAGGAGCAAACCAGCGGAAAGTAACTGGATAATGCTTTGATCCATCAAGTCAGTACTAGAAATCACTAAGCAGTGCGGTGAGGAATGATATTACCTTGAGAGAAGCTGCAGCCGAAGCATTAGCCAACAGTCCAAAGCAACAAAAGGAGCCCAGATGCGGATGTGGTTGTCTATAACGTTATTGGCTTTCTCTTTGAAAGCAGCCTCTTGATTGAATGTCCCGATGACAGAAGCGCCTACTCTCATTTCGCTCGCGGTATTGAGAATAGGTCCTCTAGCAAGAACTTCCAGGCGCCTCAGTTGCCTACACGCATGAAGGTAATAGGCTTGGATAGCAAAGTAAACAAGACCGATGGGAGCTAGATACAGAATACTTATAGGTGTCGCTGCGACAATGATGAGCACCGATGCCGTGGCCGTGACACAAAGGGCAACTATGCCGATCAGTCCTGCGCTTACAGTTGTATCAATCTTATTAATATCATTGGTAAAGCGGTTCAGGATATCACCTAAACTCGTTGTATCAAAGAAAGAAAACTTGCTTCTCAAAATGCCCTTAGTGAGTTCGGCGTGAATAGACCGAGATGAAGGGATAACGCATAGGAAGTAAGCAACAAGCACAAAAACTGACGATAACAACCCGCCAACTAGGGCACAGACTGAGTAGTAAGCCAACTTGAACGAGTGTCCTTGGCTTTCGAACTCTTGGCTTGAGAGCTTCAGAAAGTAGACCGCTAAGATGTCCAATAGCTTGGAGGCGGCAGCCGTCATAAGAACAACTAGCCAGCCGCCAGGCTTGGCGAGCTTCAAGAATCTTAGATAGGTACCGAGCCTGACTGGTGAATCAGTCGTGTCTGGGGCGGGATCTCCGGGGCGAGTTCTTGACAACAATGGCGCTGTCTCTTCGTCATTTACCGGTCGAGGGGACATGGCTCGGTTCGAAGCATTTGGTTTTATCGATCCATAACATATAGATGAAGTTGAAGATGTAAATTTGTCAAGTTCTTGACGAGTTTCAAGTTCCTCGTCCGGAAAATCGCCAATGTCCTCTTCATGAGCTCGAGATGGCGGGTCCGTCTCTGACAATATCCCATCCCGGATAACGTATAACTTGTCCGCTTGAGCCATCAGAGCGTCCGAAGATGTTGTAACAATTTGAAGTGTATCTTTGAGGAGCCCTCGAGACCCGAACAGTCTATTTATGAGATGGGACCGCACCTTGGCGTCAACCGCCGCGAGAGGATCATCTAGAACGATCACTTCGCGTCGGGAGTAAATGGCCCTGGCCAGCCCGATACGGGCCTTCTGACCTCCAGACAAAGCGACACCAGTTCCGCCCAGTATCGTCGCATCTCCAGCGGGTAGCCTAGCTAAGTCTGAGTTGAGCGTGACGGCAACGAGGACCTTCTTGTAAAAAGGCCCATCAAAAGGAAGTCCAAAGAGGATATTATCCCTTATCGTACCAGAAACAAGAAAAGGTTTCTGAGGTGCATAGGCCATATTTCCTTGAATCTCGATGTCGCCAACGGGGGGCCTGATCTCTCCAATAATGGATCGTATCAAAGTAGTCTTTCCACATCCAACAGGTCCTGATATGACCAATAGAGAAGCAGAGGATGCTTCGATGTTGCGTATCTGGAGGAGGGTTTTGGTAGAGCCTGGGAAGGCAATCTCGCAGTCCCGAATTCTGAAACCGACAGAACCTGTTCTTGGGATATCGTGCGGGTTTAACACAATGTTCTGAGAGGTCGTGTCCTTCTCATCGTTGGCCGCTAATAGAAAGCCTTGGATGCGGCCAAACGAGATACGCCCCCCGTAGTATAGCATCACGAGCCGCGGCAGAAGGGATACTGACCTCGTAATATTGAAGCAGAAGGCCAGCGCGGGGAAAACCACACTGCTGGGCAAGGAATGGCCGAGGAGGATGGATGTCCCGAACGTCACCGATATCAAGGCTGGCGGAAGGACGTAGACCAGAAATACCATGCAGGAATTGAGTTTCGCAATGGCCTTGTATTTTTCGAGTTCTGTAGCTCGCTGGTCATCAATCTTGCGCTCGAATAAATATGCCAATGCATCGAGCTTGATCTGTTTGATCTGCTTGATGACCTGGGTGATCAGTCTGACCCTTGTGTCCTTGGCCTCGATAAAGTCGGTCATCCGTTGCGAGATGCGGCTAGTGGTGTAGGCTAGCATTGGCATCATTACGAACTTTTATTGTCAGCTGGCTGTGGCCTAGGAAGAGGATTAGATAATTACCGGAGAAATGGCTCCAGCCAAGACGCTTTGCCAACCGAGGAGTAGCACGAGGGCGGCGATGCTAATAGCAGACTGAACAGCCGCCATCCAAAGGACGTGGTATTGCTCAACTAGATCAAACACCTTACCACAGTCGACCTCGATGAGAACCGCCGGGTCGGCACCGGATTCTTTGCCGTCAGTAGCCGACATGCACTGGTCGCAAAGAAGACTGGTCAAGGCGGATCGAAGTTGCACACCAATCTTTCGAAGTTGCAACTTCATATGAGCCTCTGTCGCTCCAGCCATGAGACTTGCTAAGAATAAGCCGGTAACAGACAACAAGTCGCCATTCTCGATCAAGGATTGCAGAAAGAAGGGTTGCGCGAGAGCGGTGGCGACATTGACAACAGCGAGCAGAAAACTCGATACCATTCCGCCTTTGAAGTTGCGCCACAAGACCGAGTCGAAACCTTTGGCAACACCATGACGAAATTCAAACGACTGAAAGATTGGCTGCAGTTGAGTGCTCCCCACAGACAGTTTTCTATCAACTGGCCAGGTGTCATCGATTGAGAGAGGACGAGAAGCGGCCAACTGGAGAACTGGATCGAGCCATGAAAGAGTGAATGTTGGGAGAAATGGAGCGTGTGAGAAGGGATGGTTCTGGGCTTCAGCTAAGGACGAGGTTCTGGGTGTGCCAATTGTGATGAAAAAAGAGGTAAGATACAAGGAAGGAATGGCAATTGAAACCCAATCGAGGACCGGTGCCTGGATCAAGAGTATAGCCCAGCTAATACAGGATACTAGCTCATATACCGCTTGTAATACGGAGGGATAGTAAAAGGGTGTCAAAATAACTGAGATTGCTGCGCCAATAATTACGCCGATGAACGACGCAAAGACTCTCCTTGTATAGGTGAAGTCGAGACTAGTTTTTACCAAGCTCGTACAAGCCACAGTACTCACGCCAATCAGGGCAATATTGACGGCCTGTCACAAAGGTTAGGTTGGGATCAACCTTCGATTCGTTGAATAGACATACAAGTGCTCCGATTCTGAGGTAGCTCCGTTGGGAACCTCGCTTCTGCTTTGAGAATAAAGATTGCAATAACGCACCCAGACCGTGAATGACGACAGAGGCCAAGAAGATAAAGCTGTCCATGATTAGATTGCAGTCAAAAGAGCCCAAGAAAGTTACCTACTGAACAAGGCTGCTGAACGCCATGTTCAAGAAATGCCGTCGACAAAGACGGTAGATGGCCGAAATACGACGAAGAAATACGACGAAGAAATACGACGAAAGAATTGCTAAAGCAGTCGACGAGTGTTCATGAGAGTAAGAGTAGTAGGTAAGGTGGTTGCAGCTTGCCGCCCCCTACCTAAGCATGAGAAGAGTCAGATTCTGGTTACCAAGCAGTCTATGAGTTGAAGTGGGAAGAGTACCCAGCCGAGTAGCAGCCTCCTAGAGGCGCCAAGGATCCAGCGTGATGCGGGGCTAATCACATAGAATTGCCCAAACAAGTCAACAATAGCGCACTAGATACGATTTCCCACCATACGACATCAAAATGCCATGGCAGTTGTTCATGCGCGTATGCAAAAGCACCAACACAAGTCAAGTAAACGACTATTCCACAGAGCTCTTCCCCGTCTGGCTGAAAAGAATGAATATGAAGCGTAGAATAGTTTCACACTTGTGATGTTCTTGCCCTTGGCTCAAGGCTTTTAAGAGTAAATTTGACATGGCACATTAGGTCCTTGTGGTTATGAAGGCATGGCTCGGTCAAAGCGATTGGAATAGCCAAGATTTAATTACAAGCGGAAATCTTATAAGAGATTATGGCTCTTTTAAGGGTCAATTATAATAAATGTCTACGAAGAAGCGGTTTAGAGAGCCGGGAGCCTTCCGTGGATCCAGCTGTTGATCAGAGTCAACGCCTCCTCAGGCTTGTCGAATGGAACCAAATGTCCAGCTCCCGCAACCTCGGCATACGTCAAAGGCTCGTACGATTTCCACAAGCCAGCAGATTTCGTTCCAAGATACCACGGCACAAGTTCCCTTAGTCTAATGATGGGCTGGCCGTGCCAACTCAATCCTCGGTCGACAAGAAGACGCATGCCTGGCGCATTGCAGTAAAGGTCTTGGTCTCCAACGTAGATAAGAACGCGGATGCCCTGGTTGGCTTAATATTAATTCACGTCCATCGAGCGGCGACAATGAAGACACTTACAGATTGGAGCAGGTGGTTGACATACTCGTCACTTGCTCGCCATAGGTCACCCACCTTTTCCCACTGCTTTAACACATCCAAGGAGATTCCAACAAAAGCCTGGTTCTCAGGAACACCGAGCGCCGTTTTCACATCGCTGCGGTTCAGGTACTCTTCAACGTAACGCATCTCACTGTAACAGGAGTCTTGGTCGTGACACTCGCGTCGGAAGTCGTAAGGGTTACGGTGCATGTCTTCCGTGACAACTTTGCTGATTCCGCTGCATTTTGACTCCGCCTCCTTGCAAGTGGAGGATTTCATGCCATCAACTTCACACACGGCCAAGTTATCTTCGCACCACATTGCCCGAGGTGCCCATTCAAGGCATTGGGACGAGTTGAAGAGGCTATCTGGACCTGAGCAGACTGTTTCAAAGAAGCCCATGTTCTGCACGGATCGCCGTACGAGACCATTGCCAATCATGATGCCCTTCAAATTGATTTTAGGGGCGCGACTTGAATTCGGAGAAAGATTGGGTCGGTCTTCTTGAACTATCAGCGATTCTCTTTCATTACTGACACTCTCAGATTTAAGTATGGTTGAAGCGAGGGCTGGGACCCAAGAACCGCCATATGACTCGCCCGCAATGTAAAAGTCTAGGTCCGCGAGCTCAGGGAAGGCAGTCATAAACTGCCGGAGGAATCGAACCATGGCCATCGATGAGTCGCGAATGCCGGCTGGTATCCGTTGGCCGCGGGAGTAACCCACACCAACAGGCTGACTAGAATGTAGATTTATTAGCCCCGGTATGTAGTATTAGACATTTGACTTACTCAACAAAGAGAACCGTGGCATTGGCGTTCCACCCGAACTCATTGTCAACGGTATATCCACCTTCGCTGGCGATGCGGCATGGTCCGAGTTCCATGAGATTTCCGAAGCCGACTGAAGAAGCACCTGGACCACTAGAGTTGAGGTTAGCGGACGGCACATTTGGAGAATCGGGAGATTCATACCCCGACATCCAGAGAATCACAGGATCTGTTTTGGGATCGTGCTTGCTCTCAAAGGCCCAGAAGAAGATGGAGTTGTTGCCTCCTTGCCCATCGTCGGACGTGATGAAGCCAGAAGTCCCCGGAGTGGTGCTATTGCACACCTTGGCCGTATCAGGACTCAGCTGTAGGGAAAAGGGCTCGACATCTGATAGTCCGGAAAACGTCGTCTGCAAATGGGACCGCGGAGTTACCTGCGGAACTGCCGCATTGGCCGAAGTCCCCAAGGCAATAAACGCCGACAAATGAATCGACAGCATTGTATGATCGAGACTCGTCTGTCACTCTCTATGATTAAACCCAGCAGCCGTCAATGTGAATGTGGAAAACCTCAAGACTTAACAGCCAGTGCCGATTTCGCCTCGGCCCCCGGCCACCTCCAGAAAAGAAACGCTAAACCGCATCGGGTGCTCGGATGCGCACGTCAACCCCGAACGAGGCTCCGATGATCACTTTACTATACTTCCAGCGCCCGTTATGCGTGTGAATATGTTTTGAGATTTTAGCCTTCTGTTCTGTGCTGCTACTCGGTATCATAGAGGTTTCTATTGGCATCATGAGATTATCTACCGTTAACACAGCATTGGTCTGGGCCGCTGCGGTCACCACCGTCAGCTCCCAGCAGCAACAACCACTTACAAAACCGCCGACAAGGACAGGAAGTAACTTTCATGTGAAAGAGCAATCCGCAGCCCTTTGTGATGCTGGGTCGAGGTACTATACAGGAACAGTCAACATCACGACTGAAAAGTCCATGTTCTTCTGTAAGTTCAATATTCCTAGAAATGGACGAAGCGCCAACTAACTTTCTAGGGTATTTCGAAAGCCGCCACCAGCCAGAGAATGACCCATTGCTTCTATGGATGAGCGGGTAAGCGAAGTTCAAAGTATATGGAGAGAAAGACAACTAATTTTGTGTACCAGCGGGCCAGGTGCGACTGGAGAACTTGGCTGTTTCGTTGGTAGCGGCCCGTGTGCGGTCAATGAAGACGGGAACTCGACGAGACGCCTGGATTATTCATGGACAGATCGTGCTAATGTCATCTATATCGAGTAAGATTGTTTCTACACATATCGCCACAAGTTGTATCCTAGCTAATACTGTCCAATCAAGCCAACCCATTGGCGTCGGCTTCTCTGAGATCACTGATCGTGAAATGATTGCTGTCAGCCTCTTAGAAGGCGCCCGAGACGTCTACTCTTTCCTCTCCACCATCTCTACGGAGGTATTTCCACAATTTGCAAGCCGCCCTTGGCATCTGACTGGAGAATCCATGGGCGGTCACTACGTCACTGGCTATACCCAGTACATAGCCTCACTTGAGCGTGAAAATGCAGCATTGGGCATTGAACCCCGGATCAACATCTCGTCAATAGTCATTGTAGACGGATACATTGATGCCTCACGTCAGACCGTTGGATACTATGACTTCTTCTGCGCTGACTGGGCAGCCGACGGGCGCAAAGCGCCCCTCATGGACAAGACTATCTGTGCGGATATGTCTGAGGGTGTTCCAGCATGTGAGTTGGCAGGAGCCCAATGCCGGAGCAGCTACGACGCCGCAGTATGCCTTTCGGCGATGAATGTGTGCAATCAGACGGTCGGGCGGTTCTTCAACGACGAAATCCGCCCCGGGGGCTGGGATCCTTACGACAGTCAGTCTTTTCGCAGAGACCGAAGTAAAGACTTAGCTAATCTATGTTAGGCCGTCACAAATGCGAGGAGCCTCCTTTGTGCTCAAGTTTTGCCCATGACCATACATTGGAGTTCTTCAACCAGGATTGGGTCCAAAAAGCACTGGGCTTCCCAGACTTTCCCTTTGAATTGATCGACTTCGACACTAACTACCGCTGGGTCCAGGCCGGGTATGTGAACCTGCCGGTGACGCGGGAATTAACCTGGATTCTAGACCAAACGAACATCAAAGTTCTTTTCATCAATGGAAATAATGATATCATAATGTGAGTTCTTGGTAGCAAGCCCGCCAAAGAATAACAAACACGATGCTAACGGAGGGTCCGCAGCAACACACCAGGTCAGATGCGTATGCTGGACGAGCAGCCGTGGAAAGACCAAGCACAATATAGAAGCTTGGGCTATAAAGAATGGTATTATAGGGATGGAGATCTGGCACACCATGACGAGAAGGGGGTTGAGAGAGGTGGCTTTTGGAAAGGAACTGACCGCCTGCAATTCTACGCCATTGATGAGGCTGGGCACTTTGCGCCTCATTTTCAGCCCGAACCAGTCGGAGCTGTACTGAGAGGGTGGTTGCGCAAGTAGACAACATCTGATGCTCCCAGCCTTCGTGGATTGGCTGATTAGTTATTCATTCATATTATTCCTAAACATCAGTGCAGATGTCTATCTTTGCCTTTTTGCCATATTTTGACAGTTCAGGCAACGATATATATACATAAATCACACAACCCCTTAACTCTCACAAGAAGGAACCCAAAATAATGAATATCTAGATCTCGGCAGAAGTCGTTGGTACGAGGTCGTTAAAATACCTTCCATCAGCCGTACATCCAATAACAATGAGGTACTCGTCTTTGCCATCGGAGAACAACTTTTCCTTGGAAGTCCACTCGTCATACGTTAGACAAGAAAAGAATATCGTATGCCCCTTGGCAATTTCTCTCTCCAGTGCTTGTTGGAACCCTAGAAAGGCGCGGAGCGGATAAAATGGCCCTTCAGAGTGCATCCTAACGTTGGCGATGCGCGTGACGGCCTCTTTGATCGAACGTGATGACACTTGGCCAGGGCAGAAGAGTCCGGTTATGAAAAGGCAGCTGATGATACCTCTTCGGTAGGCATTCTCTCTGCCACATTTGGGAATGTCGAGCCCAGCTGCCACTCGCAAAATGAGACCAACCCACGGGTTCGTAATGTCAGCAGGCGTGTCGGGGAATTGCCGCGGTAGCTCTGTCGACCGATCTGCCAAATCATGGAGCAAACTCTCGTCACAAACGATATGGGCAAAGGCATAGTCGACAATGTCCATCGCTCTTCGATGACTAGAAAACCGCAAAGGCTCACTCTTGGCGGTGGAATGATTGACCTCCAAAAATTCTGCCCGAAAATCGCGCGGGGCTTCACAGCTTTGCAGAATCGTCTTGAGATATCTCAGCTCTGCATATAACTCCTCCTCTGTCAAGAATCGACCATGAGATCTGTCATTTTCCGAGGGGCTGCAAATATCATGTCCCTTGAGGATACTCCACCATTCATCGACTTTTTTCATGGTAGTGGCTGGCGTATCTCCACAGACTCCAAACCCCTTGGTCACGAGAATTCGGTTCCAAAGGCGTCTTGCCCTGGTTCCGATGAGCTCAATCATTTGGCAAGGTGCCGCAATCCTCAGCTCCAAGTTGTTGACGAACGTTTCGGCTGGGTTCTCAGAGCCATAAGGGGTATGTGGTCCTTGTGCATTAGCAATCAACGAGCGTAGACTGAGCCACCAGCGTATGAGACTATACCCTTCCGCCAGTGACAGCACGTCATCAAGTCTATTGAGGATTGTCACGTTTAGGATTGAAAGTGCATCACACACGCTGCTAAACGACCCTGCTTCAAGCTCATAGTAGAACGCAAGCATCATCGTCACCAGCCGCGCATCTAAAGGCAGGCTGGTGTCCTTCTCTAGTAGCTCGACAGTCTGAGCTGTAAACGCCGTGGCTTTGGCGGAGTGAGTAGGCATAGCGGTCCAAGTCCCTCGGCCATTCTCTGCCTGTTCGCCTTGCAGGTTGGCCAGACTGGCAGCAGCTAGGGCTAGCGCCGCACAGCATACCGTCTCACATGTGATTACCAAGTCCCATAAGAACGGCAGCTCCACTGGGAAGCTCTGCAAGACGCTCACTTTGAAGTGCGCGAGGTATATGCGATCCTTGACAGAAATCTGTGATGGCAGACGCCTTTGCAATTTGCCCACCGGCGTACGTAGTGGCGAATTAACCTCGGCATGCTGGACGTTGGACCGCCCTCTGAACAAGTGGTGGTCCGTTGACGAGGGGGTAGAGGGTTCTTGATCGGAGGGAGACTTCCGCATCATCGACTCAAGGAATGTTCCACTAGTACCAAGTGTGTTTTGTTCCGTATCGGTGCACATCGGAGCAGATGCGCGGCCAACTTGCTCTTGATAGGAAGCGACTGGTGACTCGTCCTCAGCCTCACGTCCCGACACTTGCATATCTATTGATAGCACTTCTGGGACTCCCGGTCCGGGGGGAATCTCGGCAAAGTCGAAGAGCTGTGCAAAATCGCCATTCGCACCATCAAGCGGGAGATCAAAGTCGAGCTCTATGTCGGCACACCTTGATTGTAGCATTGGTGTCGAAAAAGCCATCATGTTTGGCTCAATGGCCCATTGGATGCCAGAGTCTGGGGAGGGATAAGCCGACTGCGCTTCTGCCTCGATGCTGAGCTCTGGGACGCCATCCCATGCATTGTTCTGCTCGGCAACTCTTGAAGCATGGGGCGTGCTTTCGCAAGCAGTCGTCTCACACGCAACCGAAGGCTCATTCCTTAGTTCGCACGTAGGAACGTCCTCTTGTGCCGAACCGCTGTATCCATGATTCATGGCATCCGTTGTCCCAAGCTGCGATTGAACAAGGCCTTTGCTGGATTCGACCTTTTGCGCCGCCCACTGCGTGGACTCTCTGAATTTGATGGCAACACGCTCATACTGACAGTCAGATTCATTTGCTACGCATCGGCCGCACCTGGGCTTGCCTTCGTCGCACTGGTATGGACGTAAGCTATGCATTTAGTCACAGGTGGTGCTAGATTTGAGAGTGTCTGACCTTTCTGCGCTTTTGGCGACACCGAGCACAGCCACCCCTGCTGCGCTTGATGTCCGTCTTCTTGATCCGCGTGGGTGGTGGACCGTACATGGGAGCAGCCTGTCGTCGAATGTCTTTCCTTGTCTCGCTCTTGATAGAGTTGATGTCGTAGCCGGCGGTCGCGTAGGTAACGGACGACGCAAGGGGATCGCTTTGCCGAGAATCCAGGTTTTGCGTACGTACAATCAATTTCCCCGCCTTTTTCAAGCGTAGGGGCTTGAGCCACAAAGATAAGACCAAACCATTTAGGGACGATCTACTGGAGGGAAAACACAATCACAGTGCGGTCCATCACTTTCTGTTTCTCCCCACTACCCTATAGCAATAAAAAAACAAGCAACGATGGGGGGAAAATCGTTCAAGTACATGCATAGATGAATTCTGATCGAAAGTATCCGAAGATTTGCTATTTGAATTATATAACAACATCTGTAAGATCAAAGGTACGAGAGGGTTGTGATTGGCCCGAAAGAGGGAGGCAATATGTGGCAGACTTATCAACCAATGCCCCGCACCGAAATTCGGCTTACATGTTTATGAAATACATTACTCTCAAAACTTAAAGCAGATCCAATTTGCCTTTGCAACCATCAATTTGCGCATCAGACACCATGGCCCAAGATTTTCCGCCCTCGGCTAGAGCTTCTGCAACACTGAACCAAGGTCCCGCCTGGGATCTCATGGAGAAGGTCAAGCTCCGGCCAAAATATGATGCTGAAGAAAGGCCGGAAGGCGTCATCAATCTCTCGGGGGCCGTCAACAACCTCATGCAAGACTGGATGAGCATATACGCAAGAGACAAGTTGCAGTTTGAACCAAAATCACTGGCATACGGACCCTTGAGCGGCTCCCCAGGCCTTCTCAAGGCTGCTGCTGGCTTCTTCAATCGGTTCTTCAACCCCTTGGATCCAGTCAGTACTGACCACGTCATGGCAGCCAACGGCGTGACTTCATTAATAAATATGATGGCATGGACACTCTGTGATGAGGGCGATGGGATTCTGTACACCACGCCAAACTTCTACATGCTGGATCTCGACCTCACCATGCGTAACAATGTAACGCTCCTCCCTGTCTCGACCACCAGTCTCACCAATCCATTTGAATCAAGTGAGCTCGTTGAGACTTTGGATGCTGCGGTCCGCGAACACTCAAAAGTGAAATTTCGGTTGCTATTCATGTGCAATCCTTCCAATCCTCAAGGCCGATGCTACTCGCGAAGCACTCTCGACACACTCGCATCATGGTGCGCCAGACGGCAAATGCACCTCGTTGTCGACGAGATCTACGCCATGTCCACTTTTCAAGGCGAAAGTGAAGCCGAGCTCTCTCCCTTTACAAGCATTTTAAGTGTCTGTTCGCGACCAAATGTCCACTGCCTCTACGGCCTGAGCAAGGACTTCAATATGGGAGGCGTACGGATGGCATTTCTTGTCAGCAGAAACGCCCAAGTCCTCACTACAGCCTCAAAGCTCACGTCTGTCAATTTAGAAGCTACACATGATTGTGCACTAGCTGACCTTTCTTGGTGGTAGATGGTTTACTTGGCTTCCTGTGATCACGGACACGTTTGCCACCTCATTTCTTTCACAACAAGACACAGTGGAAGAATACCTCGTCACATATAGGTCAAGACTTTCAGAAGCATACAGTCGAGCAGCCACAGCGCTCCAGAAACAACGCATTCCGTACGAACCGGCCAACGCAGGGCTGTTTATCTTTATCGACCTAAGTGCATGGTTGCAGTATTTTGTGGGATCTACGCAAGGTACGGGAACTATGTCGAGTTCAGAACTTCGCCTATGCGAGTATCTGATAGACCACGGCATTTTCCTCAATGCGGGAGAGGTGAGATGTCCTGTTCCCGGTATTACACAGGCGTGGCATGCTGACCATGATCAACAGTTCGCAGGCTGCGAGCGACCTGGCCATTTCCGGCTTGTTTTCACACAGGATCCCAAAGCGACTGAGCTAGGCATCTGGAGGATACGGGCTGCGCTAGACCAGCTGGCTGAGAAGCCCGTGGCGTAGCAGTGGCAGACACGACTGCGGATAGCGGATAGCGGATGAGGTTGGATCAAATGTGGGGCGTGGCTCCGGAGACGCAATCGCTTGCCTATTCGGGTAATCGGGTGCGCAAGAGCTCGGCCCCGAATCGGAACATCCTCGTTGGATGGATTGTTGAGGTTGATGGAAGAGCATGAACCAAAAGCACCATGGCAAGCGCGTAGATAAGAACATAGATCGTTGTTGATGGTTGGCTCGTAAATGTGTGGCATGATTTCCCCCAGCGACCCTTGAAAATCCGAACCTGCATCATGATGGATCCCAGCCGAGCCTACTCTATCCCCGATCACCGAGCCCAAAGTTCGCAGACATGTAGTTGTCACAATCATGACGAAGTGTCTTCACAGCACACGAGACAATCAAGTCTCTTTTCAGATGTCTCAAATGATGGCTGGACTACTATTGGCTCATCCACACAACCTCAACTTTCTTACCCACCAAGTGGCGGTTCAGGCATGGCCAACGGATCCAATATTTGCATTTTCGCCCATTGCTTGATTCCCGGACGTGGCGCCCCGATCTGCAATGCCGCAGTTGGGATTTCGCTCGAAACTGGAACCATCACCTTCGTAGGACCTCAGGCTCAACTGCCCCAGGCTCTGGCCTCTGCACCACGAGTTTCGGTGCGTTACCTGATGCCCGGTCTCTGGGATTGCCATACGCATTTCACTGGGGTATTGAATGTGGACTTTCCAGATTTTATCCAGACCCATCCAGCCGCGATGGGGGCCGCCATTACTCGTGGCCTGCATCAGACCCTCATGGCGGGGATTACATCGGTACGAGATGTAGGCTCTTACGCCACTGAGGTTGCTCCATTAGTAGAGAAGGGTATCATCCTCGGACCCAGCATCTTTGGAGCTGGAGGGGCTATAGGAATTACAGGCGGAAGTTGTGACGCCTGCACTTTGCCTTCCGACTTCGTCTACTCCCGCCAAGGTACATCTGGAAATACAGCTTGGTCTGGCGTTAGTTGCCTCGTTCTGGCTGACGGAGTGGATGAATGTCGCCGTGCCGTCCGTCAGCAGATAAGACGCGGGGCGCGCTGCATCAAAATCGTCGCCACTGGCGGCGTCCTTAGCACCCAGGATAACCCCGAGTACCGGCAATATTCTGACGCAGAACTCGGAGCAATGATTGAGGAAGCCAGTCTCCAGAACCGATCTGTTGCCATTCATGCACACGGCAAAAAGGGAATCATTGCTGCTGTCAAAGCAGGCGCTCACACCATCGAGCATGGTAGCTATATCGACGAAGAAGTAGCTGATTTGATGGTGGAGCGAGGCGTGACGCTGGTTGCAACTCGACACGTTATTGAAGCCGGCCTGCGCAATCTCGACAAGCTTAATCCACCCACTGCCAAGAAGATGGTCGAGATTGCCGGATCACATCTGCGGGCGTACCAGACCGCCGTGCGCAAGGGCGTCAAAATTGCACTAGGCACTGACATTGCGGCATCTGACCCAGCATCAGATACTGCGCATGGCAAGAATGGCGATGAAGTAGGTTACGCCGTCAAGGCAGGCTTGACGCCGCTTAAGGCTATCGAGGCTGGAACCATCAACTCGGCCGAGACACTGGGGGGGTTAGCTCCAAAGAAGGGTCTCATTCAGGTCGGGTGGGATGCTGATTTGATTGCCCTTGACGAAAATCCACTTGATAATATTGAGCTGCTCGGTAAACCAGACAACATTCAATATGTATGGAAGGGAGGCTTGCTGGTCAAATCCCCCCTTGGTCAACTTCTGTGGCCGCCTCTGACAAAGTCATAACTGGGAAAGAAACTTTCGTATATACAGAGGAATTTAGAGTCACGGCATGAAATTTTAAGTAAATACCGCTGGATATTCTAGCATGAAAAAAGAACCTTGTCTATAGTTGTATCCTAATATAGCAGATTCTCACGCAGCTGCATTGGCTGCCTATACGTTGTTGATCTGCCGTAAAACAGACTGTACCTCATTTTTTTAAGGCTTGTTTGCGCTCTGATTATTACCGTAGGAAATGGTCAGCGCTTCGGCTAACAGCATTCTTTTCTCTCTACTTTGTTCTCGGAAGTTTCTATGTACTTTCTTCGCTTGAGATAGATTTGGGACTGGTAATAAAATTTGAAATTAATTGTCCGGACTTGACTACCGAAACTAGGACTGAATTACAATCCAGCTATGGAGATCGGCTGATGGGATAGCCTAGATCTTCATTCACGGGAGAGATAGATCAAGGACCTTATTGGGCACGCGCCTAACCAAGGGAGAGGATAATTCTTGGAGATTTTGATATTTATTCGAACGCCCTGTTTAGCTTTCTATCATGTCTGATTTGCATCCAAGTGAGCTGTGCACTCAATCTCTACATCTGTCCCGAAAGGCAACTGGTGAACTGCCACACAGGTTCTCGCCTAAATAATGAACGATGTATCAGCAGATGATCGAATAAGATAAGATACAAGTTTGAAGTCACTCACTGGCTTAATATCCCGCTTGAAGAACTCATCATATGCCTCGTTTACAATTCCAAAATTGTCCATGTTTGTCAGGTAAATGTTCATCTTCAGCACATTATCCAGACTGCTGCCGGAAGCCTTCAAGACGGCTTGGATATTGGAGAGAGCTTGTCTCTATGAGTATATGGTTAGTCTGAGCCGTCGCCATACTACGCGATGAGCTACTTACGGCTCGATCTTTTACCGTTCCTTCTACGAGCTCTATCGTCGGCCCTGGCTTAATGCCAATGTTTCCTGAGCAGTACACGAGCCCGTTGTACACAACGGCTTGCGAGAACTGGGGCAGCGGCGCAGGAGCCTCGGTAGTGAATACGGGAGTGAAGGAACTAGCCATATTGTTTGCGGGTCAATAAAGGGTTAATAGAACAGCAGTACTCTAGGTAAAGAAGGAGGCAATAAAAAGTTAAGCATCTTGATCCTCTGTAACATCATCTTATATCCAAGTAGCAATCGCTAACCCATAATATCAGCGGACAGCATACCCCGATCTGGGTTAGTTGACATGGCGTCTGCCGAAGCAAAGCGCCTCGGCTCAGAGATCCAGATTAGCATGCACCGCCAGGACAGCCCAACATGGTTCCGAACCGGTCTCCCCCGACACGAGCAATCTGTAGAACGCTTAGAATGACATACCCAATACCCTCCCCGGCAATTCCGCCTGAAGCAATGGCGTAAACGAATCTAGCATATGATTTTGGCCAGAATTTCTGCCATACCCAAGAAAGCACTGAGCCAATGGCAACCGTGATGGTCATCGCCGACCCAGGAATGGTCATTGCGAGACCAACAAGTGACATGTTGGGAACGAATGGCTCCCACTTCTTCAACTTGGGAGTCTGCATCAAGTAGCGCTTTAGTACCACCATAGCCATGCCAACAACTGAAAAGATGATGGAGAATATCCAGCTAGACTGGGCGATTGGGAATTCAGGTGCCAAGATGGCCTCCGTAACAACCCGCCATGCGGTAACCGAGGGGAGAGCGAATTGACAGGTCGTTACTGACGCATCAGTGATGCAAGGGAAAGCCTTGGAAAATAGCATAAAAAGGGCAGGCGAGAGGAACACGGCAAAAAGTGTACCCAGCATCTGAGCGTGCCATTGTGCGCGAGCTGGCGTGCCCAGCAGGAATCCCGTCCTAAAGTCTTGACACAGCTCACCAGCTTGGTTCGCAGCAGAGGCAGACAAAACGGAGCCAACGAGGTTGGACCTGGCAGCGTGCTCGAATCCAATCTTCTGAACAGAGTCTCGGCTCACAGCTCCAGTTACGAACTGTGACCCCTTGGCAACGGAGCCGGTAGGATTGGTGCCAGAGGCTCCGAAAACCTGGATCACTACGAAAGCCCATAGAAATCCTAGAAAGACATTGAGGAGGACCAGTGTAGGAGGCACGCCATATGTGTATTTGAGCACGACCATGGCAAATATGAAAGCCGCGACAGTGACGGATGACCACTCCCACCAGCGAACTTGGTGTTCTTTCGGGACAGGGTCCATAATCTCAAAATCGCCGAGTACCGGCGCCCCTGGGACCGAGTTTGGAGCATTGGCGTTGAAGAGACGCTTTCCCGTGAGTTTTGCAATCGAATCATCCATTTGTTGGAGGCCATACTTTGCCAACTTTGCGAAATTTCGCGTCTCCAGGGCAATCGTTGCAATTGAGGCAGCAAGCATCATGAAGACTGCTGGCCACAGAATCCAGTACCGGGGCGAGGGTGCTATTTTGAGCTGATCAGGAACAAATGCATTGTAGGTGATGAGGTCTGGATTTGTGGGATCGTAAGGGATACCAGTAGCCTCTCCCCTTGCAACAAGAATTGGCCCAATAATACCCCAAGCCAGGACCGTGCCAAGGAGGTAAGACAAAGATGCGTTGAGATCAATGAGCATACCGACCCCGATTAGAGAGGGTGACCATTGCCACGAGAGCCAACCCCAGTTGACTGCATTGATTATGCTGTGGCCGCCCCAAGCGTAAATCCACCAGAAAGGATTCCATGAGTACAGAATGCCAGGGGCGTAGGAGGAAGCCACAGACCATACCAAGGATGCTGAGAACGAGTAGCTAATCGTCTTGAGCTTCTCCCTTGCCCCAGAAGCCCCGTCGGATGCTGAGTGCAGTGCCCGGATAGTGATGGCAGATGCTGTGCCCAGGGGGAAGTAAAGACTGAGTTGCCGTGCTAGCCGCAGAATAAACATCCGCCGAAGGGGAACCGCGAAGCCAAGACCCCAGAAACCACCGACCAGTGTCAAACATATCAACCGCCCGTAGTCGGATTGGGGATCGGGGCCAAGGAGCTTCAGCTGATACATTGCTGGCACGCCGCTCATAAACATAAAGCCGACGCCGATGCAGCCCAAGGAAGTCGCTTGGATGATGTTGTTTTCGTGCGGACCAAAGTCACCCGAGAGAAGGGGTAGCTAGACACCATCAGATAGCGTTCAGTATAGGATCTTCCATAGCATCGACTTACCTTGGACTTCTCAAGCATCTTGCATATGCCGAATCCGAAAATAGCAGAGAAAAGAGTTGCATCAGCACCAAAGCCAGATTTGAGACCTAGTCATGTCAGGCTTTGTGTATTAGTGCTAAAACTCCGGCGCTCTTACCTAGGTATAAGTTTGAGCAGGCAATCAAGGAGCCAAGGACACCACCAGTCAAGATGGCGCGAACGGTAACAAGTCTACGGCCATCGTAAGGCATCACGCCTGGGAGTGGCTCGTATGGTTGATCCTCTTCGCTCTCAGCGGCAGTAATGCTTGCTCCGTCGACGGCGCCTATGGTGCCATCTTCTTTATCTTTGTCAACCAAGTCGAGGGCGACATGGCCGTCTTTCTCGACCGGGACACTTCGGGTGCCCATGTTATGGTAGGATGCGAACAGAGATAGTCTTGGGTCCTATTGTATGGAGTTCAGAGTAGGATCGCGGGAGTGCTGTCGTAGCTAAATTACTATTTATTCGTATCAGCCTCCAAAGAAGATGGGTGGAAAACGGATGCTCTCCTTGCCACTCAGTTGTAGCAATAGACTTGAAGAAGCTTCAACCTGCTTACAGACAGCAAGCCGTTTACAGGTCTTTAGTCTTGCATACATATAGCAGCGGGTCGACGGATGGTAGCGTTCACTTTCCTTCCAGATAGCGATACTCCATTACCCATTGTGTGGCAACAAGGATCAGGTTATTGACACTTTCCTTATCTCGGTCCATCTATTTTGGCCAGTCAAGGTCTAGTTTAAAGTACTTACTCAATGAGGTCTACGGATCCGCGCCAACACGCGGGGTATGCAGAACTTGGGCCCGCCGCGCCAGATCAAATGCTGGGGTTTAGCCTTATCCAAAGTCACCCAATCATGGCCTTGAGGCTACTGAGCTGACATGCCTTAAACCGAAGAAGGAGATCTAATCTCTGATTTAACATGCACTTCTGGATATGATAATGAATTCCCATTCAAATATCCCAATGCGTTCTTAATCAAGGCACCGTGATACTACGCAAAGAATCCCGATATCTATTATTTCAAATATGCCCTAGTGAGAATAATAATTAGGTAGGTATATAGACTGAAAGTGGCGACTACAGGATGCGTAGGCCCCTTCCCCTTTTCCGTTATCACAATATACGCAAATGACCACATTGGTGGGCTTATACGCGGTTAGAATGGCCAATGGGCAAGCACGAGAGTTTAATAATGCGTACAGAGCCGGTAGGAAACCCTGGCTTCTCCACTTCACTTAGAGTGGGAGTGTATACTCTAATTAATATAGCTGCAAGCTCTGTATTCACTGGCGCGCGAGCCGATTGAGAAAAGCTCGCTTTGAGTACTTTGGTACATACCGATCACAGGTAAGTAGGCTCAACCAAGGAAAGTTCTGCTATTAATAGTTAGGAACTCTGGAAATAATCAAATCGACAGCACAAGTATTCAAGTAGTTTGGCTAACTTGAAGATGACTAGTTCTAAGTTTGGATTTCACTTCTTAGTCTTGTCACTTGCTAGCACGCTATGAAAGATCCTTGCTTCTGCTTCAAATTCGATAATCTCTATGGCACGTAAAGCGGATAAACTAGAAAGAAGAATGTATCCCAATATATATTCCTTCTTCACCGAACGCAAAATTCATTTATATAGGAAATCAAAAAAAATCAACTCATAACTATACAAACTCGCGACCAATATACAAACTCGTAACTAATAACTTCCTCCTATTATCTTACTTTCCTAGTTAGTACTATTAGTATCTAACTATAAGATTATATATATTATACTAATAGAGTCTAATTTCCTATACCTAGCTATTTAGCCCTCTTTTTCCTACTATTATAATACCTAATCCCCCTCCTCTAGACCTTCTATTTTAAGCTAAAGAGCTATCTATATCTAAACCTTATTATAGCTATAAGCCTCTAGTAGTTATAATAATATCTATTACTTTAATACTAGCTATTAAATCTTTATCTATTAGTATTTAATCTAAGTTTCTTAATAAGAAATACTATATTATATAGAATATTATTCTAATCTTCTTTATCCCTAGTACTAGATAGAGTACTTTTTTTTCCTAAACTTATTTAGATAATTATTTATCTAATAATAATTATATTTTAAGCTCTAGCTCTAATCTTAATTTATAAGGATCTAATATAGAATAATCTAATTCTAAAGCTAGATTTATAATTAGTATAGAACTAGATCTTAATATTAATATAGCTATTAGTTATACTTAGATCTAGACCCCTACTCCTACTACTATAGATATAGATATTATAGATATAAATAATATAAATACCTTAGATCTTCTAGATCTCTTTAAAAACTCTAATCTAGAATTTATTTTAAACCCTAAAACTAAATACTATTTTAAGTAAACTATAAACTCTAAAATTAATAAAACAGAGGTTATTTATTCTAAAGACTCCCTTTTATTCTCTATTATAGATATATTCTTTATATATACTATAGTAAAAAGTACTATTAAAATTATTACTTTTCTTACTATTAAATCTTTATTTAATAAGCTAAAGTAAATCTCTAAAGTTATTAAAACTATTAATACTTTCTTAATTAAACTAAATAATACTCTCTCTAACTTCTTACTAGTAGTATAGATCTAAAGCTAAACCTAGATATTAATAAATCTTTATTCTTAGTAAATAATTCTTTAGAATAATATTATTTATAACCCCTTTACTACTATTATAGCTTCTAATAGTTATTATAACTCTATTTTTAATAAAGAGATTTAAAGAGCTTCTAGAGATAGAACTAATACCTAGAATACTAATAGATCCTAATTTACTAGAGCTAGAACTCTCTAAGCTCCTCTAACTAGAACTCCTATAACTAGAGCTCCTCTAGTTAGAGCTTTTTTAATTAGAGCTTCTTTAGTTAATATTAATAGCTCCTTATATATTTAAACTACTATCTATAGTATTAATCTTAACTCTAATCTTATCTTATTTAAATAGATTCTAAAGATAGTATATCTAATAGTTATAATATTAAAATTAGTTATTAAAAAAGCTATTATAGTTTAATAACCTTCTAGAGATAATAGAGTTTTCTTCTAATTCTTAGTTATTTACCCCTTTTAAGAATAATATTAAGTAGCTATCTATATATAAGTTATTAAGATTTATTTACTCTTAGATTAAAGTATTATAAAAATATATTAGATTCTATCTAGCTTTATATTTACCCTAGTAACTAAAGCTATTTAATAAATCCTTTTTAATTATTATATTAAACTATATAAATAACTTAGTACTATAGATATTAAAAGTATATATACTTAATATATCTATATTATCCTATATATCTCTAATATAATCCTAATTTATACTAACCTTCTTAATACTAAGAAATATATTATAAATAAAATTCTTAATAAAACTAATTAAAAGCCTATCTATATTACTAGAGGTAAATTATATAAATAGCTCTTTAAAAACTACTTTTACTTTATTTTCTTTATTACTCTAGTTATCCCTTTCTAACTCTTTAAAACTAATAAATAGTTTAAGCCTAAGAATAAGAAATAATCTCTCTTTTATTATAAATACTATCTTAACTAATATTTAAAAGAATCTTATTATAATCTATTTAAAATCTATAGTCTCTATAGCTATCTAATCTATAAAGATTAGTCTTACTCTATTATTACTAAATATCTAAACTATAAAACCTCTAGAAATCCTACTTATAAAAACTACCCTTTTAAATCTATTTAATAGAATTATAAACTTAAAAGACTTACTTAGTTTTAAAAAAGATATATATAAAGAAATAGTATAAAGCTCTAGTATAAGAAGATTAGTATTAAGTCTATAGATCTAATTATAATCTCTATCCCTACTCCTACTCCTGCTTCTATTTCTACCCCTATTTATAAAGATAGATAATAAAATCTAATTATAATTCTAAATATAAACCTAGTTCCTTTAACCTCTATTTACCCTTCTACTTCTTAGAATCCTAAAACCCTAGAAACTATTAGAAAAATAACCTTAAGTATTTCTTTTATAAAGAATAATAAGTTAATTATTATTAAAACTCCTTTTTTAGTTTTTTTTAATATTCCTAATAATATAATACTAAATAAAGTTTTTTAATATCTTAAATAAAATAAAGAGATTATATCTAATATTATTAAGAAGCTTAATAGTAAGATATTCTATATAAGCTTCTAAGTAGGTAATAATAATATACTAAACTCTTCTTACTAACTAACTATCTCTATAAGTACTAAATATCTAGTTTCTAAACTTTTAATTAGATCTAGTACTAAATAGTAATAAAAAATAATTAGAAACTTAATATAAGTATTTTTTATAATAACTATTATAATAACTAGAGAGTATCTTATATTACTTTTAACTTTATCTTTACTATAAGTACTAATATTATTATACTTATAGAACTATAGTATTCTAAGCCTAAGAATAAAAACCTAATCTATATTACTATTACTTATTTAATATATAAAATCTTCTCTTTTATTTTAATTTAGAAAAATTTTACTATTTAACCCTATATTATATTATATATCTATAAAAACTATAATCTCTATCTTTCTCTTACTAAAGTACCTTTCTATATAGAGCTTATTAAAGTAAAGATTCTAAATTACTATCTCTTCTATCTATATAGATATTCTAGCTCTAAATCTCTATATAATCTTCTTAAGAACTAAATACTACTAAAGAATATCCTAATAATAAATAATTAAAATACTAAGTTTAATAACTAGAAATCTAGTATTACTATTAATTAATTTAGCTAGGAATTTACTAAATAGTTTAGAAAGTATAACTTAATAGTTCTTAATACTCTTAGTATTCTAATATATAATAAGGAATATATCTTTAATCTAACTATTTTAGATATTCTTTTTATAGAAGTAGAAATAATAGATTATCTTTATATTAGATCTAACTATTCTACTCTTTTTATAATTTTTCCCTTTATTATATAGAACTATATTATATTATTTAATTAGTATATAGTAACTTATAATTAGCTATTATATTTTTATTTATAAACTCTAATAACTACTAATATATTATAAAACTAATACTAGTAGATTAACTTTTCTTAATTTAACTTCTCCCTTTAATAAACTTCTACTATCTAATATTTAACTTAATTCTATTTAAGTTAATTCTATTCTATCTAAATATAATTAGAAATTAATTTAAACTAATACTTTAGACTATAATAGCTTTTACTTAGATAAGTTCTATATAATATATAATATATTAGAACTAGAGACTATATTATTAGTTATTATAATTATTAAGTACTTAATTATTAAGGTATAACCTATTATATCTCTCTTTATTATCTGTTAGTACTTAGTACAGGGTATAAGATACTAATAACTCTCTATAGGCTTTATAGTAGAATATTAAGCTAAATAGCTATAACTACTAAGCTTATATATCTATAAGTAGCTTTAATACTATAAGAAGTCCTATTACTAAGTATAAACTCTAATATTAAATATATTTATTATATATAATCTACAGATTATTATTAATTATCTTTATTATATATATAAGGATATAGTCCCTTACTATAATCAGGCCTTAGCTACTTAAGATAATTATATTAGAAAAGGCTATTATTATTATTATAAGGAGATATTATATAGTTATTTATTTAATTAGTTAGCTATAGTTAGTTAGTAATTAGTAATAATAAGCTTATTTATTTATTTATTTATATACTTATATACTTACTTACTTAGAGTCTTATAGTTAATTATAATTAATAAGTATCCCCCCCTTAGGGCCTATAGCTAAATTATATACTTAGTAAGATCTTATTAGAGTTTTTTAATAAAACTATTATCTTACTATAGCTTATATAAGAAGTAAAGTATAAGGAATAGAGTTAAAGGTTAGATATAGACTATAAATAAGTAAAAAAATAAGTTATATAGATCTTATTATATATAGCCTAATCTCAGAATATCTTCCTTATATATAGTAATAACTCTAAAAAAAAAAAAAAAAAAAAAATAATTTTTCCCTTTTAAATAAAAAACCTTCTATTCCCCTCTTTATACTATTTTCTAAAGAAGAACTAAATAGTTTATCTAATTAAAATAGAATACTATATTTATAAGCTCCTGGATAAGATTCCTAATAAAGAAATCTTAGATATATTTACTAGTTTAATTAATAATATCCTTTTTAAATCTTTAAAAACTTATAGTAAAAAATACTATAAAAATAGAAAGGAATACTAATAGTAGAATAATAAATATAATAAAATAATCTATACTTATTAATAAGCTTAGATTATAGATAGAAATAGTAAGGAGATTAAGAACTATTAATAGATTCTATAGATTATAATTCTCTATATAAAAGCTAACTTTAATAAGAAAGCTATTAAAAAGATATCTATAAATAAAGATATTTACTATATCCTTAGCTAATATTAATTAAGGTTCTAATTCTAGTTTTTACCTCTAAAGATTAATAATTAGATTTTTATTATTTCTAAGAAAAGAGTTATTACCCTTAGATAGACTTTTCTTTAGTATATTTAGAGAGATAAGAACTTAGATATAATAGATATTACTATCTACTTAGTATATAGTATCCCCTAGAATAACTATATCTCTATAAAAGAGATTAAAACTATTCTAACTAAAGTAGGTAATACTATCTCTAGTTAGAATAGAATTATTATACTTCTCTTTAGATTTATTTTCTTTATAATTAATTAAAAGATCTAATTACTATATTAGAGGAATCTAAATCTTAGCTATTACTCTATACTATAGAAAATTATCCTAATTATAATAATTCTAAAGCTAAATAGGAATCTTAGTAAACTAAAGAGCTAGAGATCTATTTTATTACTTTTATATATTAAAAAGAGCTTTAAGAAGCTATTTATAAAGAGAATCTTTTATTTTATAATTATCTATAAAGTTATTTTTCTATAGATTACTAGAGCTCTTCCTAAGAGATTAATAATTAATATTATATAGACTTTTATCTACTAGGTAGAAAATATAATAAACTATAGTCTTACTATTATAGCTATAGCTCTTAATATAAAAGGAGCTTTTAACTATATACTCCCTTACTAGATATATTATTAGCTTATTAATTAAAACTAGCCTTTAAACCTATATAAGTAAGTATTTAACTTCTATCTTAATAGAAAGACTACTATTAGACTAGGTTCTATCTTAATAGATATTAATAATATAATAAATAGCTCCCTATAAAGGTTATTAATATCCCTAATCTTCTATATTCTATCTACTATTTTCTTTAATATAAAGAAAGGGATTATAATATTTAGATATATAGATAACTACCTAGTTATAGTAGTAGTAAAAACTACTAAAGAATCTATAGCTATTATCTAAAAATAAATTAACTTACTAATTATAGAAGGAGATAAGTTCAGAATAACTTTTAGTTTAAATAAAATAGAAATTATATACTTTATATATAGAAATTACTTTCTAAGGAATATAATTACCTACTATAGTATTATAATTAAGCTAAAGTTTAATATAAAAAATAGAAAAAAAAGAAAACTAACTATTAAATAGCTTAATATCTAGCTAAATAGAAAACTTAATTTTAAGTTCTATATTAAAAAATAGATTACTAGTACTTATATCCTTATTTAGTATATTAAATCCTTAAGCTAGATAATAATAGATACTCCTTCTATAATAATTTAAAAGACTATTATAATAATTATCTTATCTAAACTCTTCTTTAGTATAGAGATATAGTACTCTAGTTAAACTAGAGAGAATAGAAAGAACTAGATTATTATAAAAGCTCTATTTTAGATTAAACTAATTAGTTTAAAAAGAAGAATCTAGATCTTACTAAATATAGTTATCTAGAAATATATCTCTATCTAGAGTTTAACTTCTATTCCTACCTTATTTAGAGAGTTTAATATCCTACTAGTTTATCTTCTTCTAGAAAAGATTAAATATAATTAAGATATCTATCTACTTACTCTTAATAAAAGATATTTACTTACTATAATATTAAATAATAGATTAAAGTTATAAATCTAGAGTTTTTTCTTTATATTTATAAACCTTATATTAATTACTAGTACTATTCCTAGAGTAAGTAAGGATAGTAGATCTCCTTTTTATCTATCTATATACTTAGATAACCTACCCCTAGACTTTAATAATAAAAATAAAATAGTAAAACTCTTTAAAGAGTAAGTAGTAGCTAGAACTAAAAACTAAATTATAATTTATTCTAATAGTTTATATCTCTTTACTATATATAATCTAGATATTTACTTTAGGCTAAACTATAGCTATACTCTTTTTAATAGTATAAAAGTAGTTAGTAATAGCTATAGCTCTTTTATCTATAAAGAAGTATATAATATAGAAATAGAGAGTATTCTTAAAAGCTTTTAGAAAGTAATTAAATATTTCCTATATATATATATTATAGTTTATCTTAATAACTCTTCTATTATCTACTACTTACTTAGTTTAGAATCTAGATCTTTTTATATAAGATTCTAGATCTTCTTTAAAGCTATAAGAGAATATAATCTAGAGTATATAGTAAAATAGTCTCTTAGGTATACTAGGATCCCTAGTAATAAGCTTACTAATATATTTATAAATATAGATATAGATTAGGATTATTAGAACTTTAAGCTTCTAAAAGATAATAAAACTATTCTCTCTATTAGTTTTTTTTTTTTTTTTTTAGAGTTATTACTATATATAAGGAAAATATCCTAAGATCAGGCTATATATAATAAGATCTATATAACTTATTTTTTTACTTATTTATAGTCTATATCTAATCTTTAACTCTATTCTTTATACTTTACTTCTTATATAAGCTATAGTAAGATAATAGCTTTATTAAAAAACTCTAATAAGGCCTTACTAAGTATATAACTTAGCTATAGGCCCTAAGGGGGGGATACTTATTAATTATAATTAACTATAAAACTCTAAGTAAGTAAGTATATAAATAAGTAAATAAATAAATAAGCTTATTATTACTAATTACTAACTAATTATAGCTAACTAACTAAATAAATAACTATATAATATCTCCTTATAATAATAATAATAGCTTTTTCTAATATAATTATCTTAAGTAGCTAAAGCCTAGTTATAGTAAGAAACTATATCCTTATATATATAATAAAGATAATTAATAGTAACTTATAGGTTATATATAATAAATATATCTAATATTAGAGTCTATACTTAGTAATAGGACTCTTTACAGTATTAAAGCTGCTTATAGATATATAAGCTCAGTAGTTATAACTACTTAGTTTAATACTCTACTATAAAGCCTATAGAGAGTTATTAATATCTTATACCCTGTACTAAGTACTAGTAGATAATAAAGAGGGGTATAACAGACTATATCTTAATAACTAAGTACTTAATAATTATAATAACTAGTAATACAGTCTCTAGTTCTAGTATATTATATATTATATAGAACTTATCTAAGTAGAGGTTACTATAGTCTAAAGTATTAGTTTAAGTTAATTTCTAATTATATTCAGATAGAATAGAATTAACTTAATTAGAATTAAGTTAAATATTAGATAGTAGAAGTTTATTAGAGGGAGAAATTAAATTAAGAAAAGTTAATCTACTAGTATTAGTTTTATAATATATTAGTAGTTACTAGAGTTTATAAATAAAAATATAATAACTAATTATAAGTTACTATATGCTAATTAAATAATATAATATAGTTCTATATAATACTCTCTATTAGTTATTTATATAGAAATATAAATAGAAATATAAAGATAGCTTAGGAAGACTAATAGTAATTAAATAAGCTAGAATTATATCTCTACTTCTACTTTAAAGCCTTCCTTAAATAGAATTCTAAACTCTCTCTTCTTTAGAAGATATTCTATTATCTTATAGCTATTAGAACTAGATATAGTAATTTTATATATTATTATATAGATTATAATTACTAGAGTTATAAATCTTTCTATACCTATAAATATAGAAAAATACCTACTTACCTCTTTATCTATTATCTTATTAAGTAGTTTTAGCTTTCTAGGATCTAGGGAATTAGTAAAACTATTAAACTAAAATAGGAACTCTTTATATATTATATAGAAAAGTCTAACTTCTTTAAACTATACTAAAACTAATAGTTCTTCTTACTTTTTATTTCTCCTTTATCTACTTATATACTCTTTCTATTACTTATCTCTATCTCTCTCTCTCTCTCTCTCTCTTACTCTCTCTCTTTTCTTAATATAGTATATATAAAGGAAATAAACTCCTATCTCCTTCTATCTAACCTATAGTTTTTTTACTACCTTAGATATCTTATTAGAGTAATAACTCTTATTCTCTCCTATTAAACCCCTTACTATTTCTCCTACCTAGAGTACTGATATATATATATAATAGCTAGTTAGCAGCTTATAAGTATAGTTCTAGATAGGTACCCTTTACCTTCAGGATCTACCGGTATTAAATAATCACAACAATAACAACAATAACTTCTTCACCGAACTTTCAGCGTTCGGGCACCGAACCTCGCACCATAGTCATAGAAGCACTCAATACAGGCTTCTCTACTATCGTTTATCCTAGAGACATATATACTTTTAATTAAATCGGCTATTTGCCCGAGTCTAGAACGGCGGATTTCTGAAATATCATGAATGAGTTATTCTATGGCCCATGAACTAGGTGCTATTAATAACATCCCTTCGACGAGAAGGAACTCGATGCCCAAAAAATAATAAAACAAACGGAATTATCCCCACTAATAGTGATAGAAACCCTAATAATGTCGATGCCCAAGGAACCCCGAGGTTCTCATACATTGAAGCCCCCCCAAGGGGAACGAGAATTGCACATATAGACCGAAGGCAGGCGGCCGCGGCATGTGCAGACGCGGAACCCTCCCGGAATATGTCAGTTATGTAGTTTAGCATACTCATAAATATCATTTGAAAGGCAAATCCAATGAAGACGCCACCGACAGAGGCGAAAATGGGCGAATTACCCACTCGGGAGATCCATCCCAACCAAAACATGCCAATTACCATGCTGTAAATAATCAGTTCATGTCTCTAATAAAGCCAATTCTACCGCCAAACGTACCAAGGAGATGCAGCACAGGCGGTGGGTAGACGGCGATTAGCTTCGGATTGGGCCCATTGCTTCCCATTGTGTCTTGATTTATGGTACCAACTGCTGTACAAGAAGAAAACTGGCAATGCCAATCCGGCGCCGATGATGACTATTGGAGAATTAGCATCATGATGGAGGATCCGGAAGTTTAGTGGCTACGCACGAGGAATATAAGCTAACCCCGCCATGCTTGGGGACAGATTATACATGTCTGGGCCGTGTTAGTAAGTCTGAAAAATTGAAATTGTTGATCGACGCTTGAATACCTTGGAAAATGATCGGATACACTTGGAAAAGAAGATAGAGAATTGAATATGCAAGAGCAAGATAAATCGACGACATAAGCAAAATGGGTTCGCTAGCAATCAGGATAGCAGGTCGTAGGAATATTTTTCGGGCGTCAAACGGCTTTGGTTGTGTTAGTATCGCCTGCTCTGAATCACAGCCTTGCGTGATGAGTTGATGAGTTTTCTTCCGAAGAACCGGCGCATATGTCTCTGGTAACATTAAAACCAGTGGAATTCCAGGGGCCGCCATGATTGAAGCAGCCCAGAACGGCCAACGCCACGAGAGACGCGATGCAAAACCTGATATCAGAGGTGCAGCAAAAGCACCCCAGGTATTAAGAACCATGAAAGCAGCAATAGATTGACCTCGTTTATGAGGATCGTCCATAATGTCCGAGTATAGCCCACCAACAACGGAAAAAGGGGCTGCAGCATTGATGCCGGACAGGAGTCTGAATGCCAACAGAGCAGGATAGTTAGGTGCACCTGAACACGCTAACATAAACACGAAAAAGCCAAGATATGACAGAATCATCACAGGGCGGCGCCCGATGAATTCGCTCAACGGACCAAAAAGCAACGGTCCCAGGATAAAACCAACCATATTGAGCGAGTTGAGTAGAGCGACTTGCATTTTGCTGGTCAACGAAAAGTTCTCAGATATGGCCTCGTAGGCACCTGATGGGATTGATGTGCCAACGCTGCAGTTGAGGCCACAAAAAGATCCTGCTACCAGGACGAGCACTTTCGTCGTCTACCGAGTGGAGTGATTAGCATATTATAGCAAAGCTCACTTTTTGAAGATATGATCCAAACCTACGCGAGAGAATTTCGGCTTGTCCCCATCCAAGGCATGGCAAGTGGATGCGCGAACCGTTGTCTGAACAGGATTTTCCCTTTCCTTGTCTGATCCAACGGGAACTTCATCTTGTGATGAACTATCGATAGTTTCGACTGGCATCCTTAGTGTTGGCTTAATTCGATAGCTAGCTTTGGGGGAGTAACCTTGCCGACTTTCTCGACTTTTGTATTTCTTTGCACAAGCGCCTTGCTACCCATTAACTCCGCTTCAGGTGAGCCTGCCCGGTAATTGTTGATATGAGAAACCGCCGCTATTGGTTCGTTAGACCGGTTCTAAGACCCGCAACTTCCGAACTCTAATCCCAGCGCCGCAACTGGCTGGAATTACCGATCCCGATCCTCTACCCTTTGAAGCCACTTCTTTCTCAACTGAACTCAACTCCGACACCGCTGTCTTTCTTCTTTCTTGCAGAGAATGAATCTAACACGAGACATAGATGTTACTCATCCTGGATAAAAGCACGATGTCTACGAACTCCTCAAGTAGTCCTCAAGATGCCTCCAAGAGAATCAGTACACGCCCGCCATATCAACTACGTATACTATTAATCAGTAGACTAACAAAGTAACAGACGGGCGAGCTTGTATCAATTGCCATCAACGCAAGGTTCGGTGCGATATCCTTGACAAGGGAGCCCCTTGCACAAACTGCTCAACTGGACATCGCGAGGGATGCTCTATTTACGTGAAAAAACGTCATCGGGAAAGCCAAGGTCGGAATAGACGACTTATGAGTATTCAGCCACGTTCACGAACCACTGATACGAGACCCAGCGACAAGCTCCCCGGTCTTCGCCCAAGAAGGCAGCCACTACAAGGCTCTTCAGCCGAAGTATGCATTGACGAGCTTCAAACAGAGGACCCAGGGAACTTCGACGATCTTATGAATAATGAAAGTATCCAGACAAGAGAGTTTGGAGACCAAAATAGGGTTTGCTTCCTCGGAGGGGCACTATCCAATTGCCATTATTTGATGCGGCAAACATATCCTCAGCAAGTTCGCAGGAACGTTTTCCACTTCGGGGGCCGGCAGTATAGCTACAAAGACACGTCTCATAATCTTCAACGCATTCCCACAGAAGCCCTCGAGAGGCCGAAAAAGGCGCTGGCAGACAAGCTGATCCGAGCTTACTTTGACCAGATCAATTGCGGATGGCCAATCGTAGATGAAGAGAGCTTCATGGCTCAGTATGAAAAGAATTACCCCAGTGGCCCATTGCCTCTGACGCTCTTGAACGCAGTCCTTATGGTCGGGGCTCATGTGCTGGCGGACAAAGATGACGAGATGAAAAATTTGCAAAGTATCCTGTTTCACCGAGCCAAGACTCTCATCGACTTCCGGCTAGACCAGGACCGCGTTGCGTTCGTACAGGTCGCGATTCTCATGACTTGGTATTCAGACGGCTTAGAAGACATTGTGGCAAATACGTGGCACTGGATTGGGATTGCCACACGAACAGGCCTAGGGTTGGGAATGCATAGGAACACATTTCAGTCAACGATGCAGCCACATTGGAAACGCATATGGACACGGCTCTGGTGGATCCTATTTCAATTTGACACTCTTGCATCAGCATCTATGGGAAGGCCACAGATTTTGTATTGTTTACCCAACATGGATAATGGAAGGATGTGTTTGCTGATATAGTACTAGAAACCTTGATGACTCCGATGTTCCTGAGCTTGCACCGGAACATTTTAAAGGCATCCCCAACGCAAACATACAGTTTTCGATTCAACAGTCCAAACTGTGCATGATTATTTCACGCACAGCTAGAGACGGTTGGTCCCTTCGCTCTACCACCCAAGCCCGGAACGACGCCGTCGAGGCCGCAGATGAGGCACTGGCCAGTTTCCTCCATCAATTACCGCCAGAACTCCAACTGCGGGCAACAAATATCACAACATGGCAGGCTATGCTCCATTTAACATACAACAATTTCGTCATTCTCATTCATCGCCCGCCGCCAAAAGGCGGCCCAGATGTCCAAGAGGACGCCAGTTACACACGGCTTCACCTGTGCGCCGTGGCTACAGTAGCCATCAGTTCCATTCTTGAGTCTCTGATTGACCAAAATCTACTTTGCACTTTGTGGTACTCTGTCAACCATGTCATATTTACTGCAATCATCAATGCGAGCACAGAAATTGCCTCATCAAACCCGCTAACAGCGGCAGAATCACAGCGCGTCTTTCAATCACTTCTTACATCATTGCGGTCTGTTTCAAGATACTGGCGTTATGCACAAGGGTTGTTTCACATGTTCCAACAGCGGGCATTGAGGTTGAAATCTAGGAGCATCGTAACAAATGACCAACCTCTTCACCAATCACGTCATGGCCCGGACCACTTCATAGCCGTCGACTCAGACCCTTCGGCTCAACAATTACTGGCTGAATATCGGAGCGATAATGATCAAGTGACATACTTTACTGATTCAGCCTACGAGCATGATCCGTCCTGCTCGGACTACACAAGTTCTCTTCCTATCACTGATGATGAGATTGAATGGAATCTTTTGAGTTCAGATGAAGGTGCCCTTTTGGAAAATCTGTTTCCCTTTGATTGCCCTCGGGTTGATAATTTTCTAAATGAAGTTTTTAGATAAATTATCTAGAACTATATATTTATGTAGTATAGTATATTTGTTTTAGCTGCGCTATTTATCAAACTGTTCAAACTGTCTCGGCGCATATCTCAGACAGGGTAATCATCTGATCCCAGTAAACGTCATCTACTGCTCTAATTTCAGCGTTAGGTGTAAACTCCATATACTGCTTAATGGTGGAGCAATCGGATCGTAGTGGTGTGCCATTAACTAAAGGTATCAGTGACCGTGATAGCCAGTCCCTGGTTGCTGCTGCCTCGTCTTGATCAAAACCAAACCGTGTCAGATACCACCAGACACACATGTCAACGGAGTGTGTCTATGTCGATTTTTTCAGCATAGTGCCCACTTACATATCTGTTTTAACAGAGGAAAAACTTATACTTACCACGCCGAGCTCGGGAGAATAAAGCTTGGATATGCACTTTGCCCGGAATTGGCTTCGATATCGAAAAATGCGATCTAATGACACACCGGCATCTGCCAGTGTTTTGACGAACGCTCTGATTGGAGCGCGGACTTGTACGTCAGAAGTTATCAATCCGTAGGTCTGGTCAACTTCTCGTTCTGTACACGTGCTGTAGCTGGCTAATAGTTTTCGACAAATTCCTACGGGGTAGCAATTCTCTAGAGATGTTTGCAACATTTTTAGAGAGGAAGGAGGGTTGATTAGTGAGTACATGTGGTGCTTGAAGAATGTTAGCTGCGTACTTTCCTTGTCGCTATAGACACTTAACTGACTTCGCTCTCCGTTTCACCAATCGTTATTTTCATTCCTCGGTCTTTGAACAGTTTGGCCACAGTGCCATCTCTCAGCAACTTGAGCATGTCACTGGTAACAAAGTTTCCATCCGTCACTGGACGGAATGTGTCCAAACGCAACGATGAAAACTTCGCGATTAGATTGTTGGAGGGGACATTGCGAAGACAGTTGAGTTTTTCTTCCACTGATAGCAATGGATCAATGTTGAAAACCTTAAACACATCTTCCAATTGGAGGTTTGCTACGATGTCATTAGCTTGAAACCCCGAATCTTCCGAGGTGCCCAAACTTTACATTTTTGGATTGATTTAGGTTGTACCTGAGGTTCCATGTCGTTAATGATGTTCATAGTATTTATGTTCCGGCATTCTCTTACCGATATCGCATTAGAACACATGAAAATATTACGAAACAACGGAATTGATCCAACTCCATGGAGTAATTCATATTGCAACTGGTAGTGAGCTGACAAGGCTCCCGCGCTGAGTCCTCCTAGGGTAATCTGATGCGGGTCGCCTCCGAAAGCTGATATGTGGTCTCGCACCCATTCTAACGCACATCGCTGATCCTATTAATCACAGAATAGTTAGTTAGCCCCGTCTGTACACGCCGAGAGGGGCGCTTCGCAGTCATGCATCGCTTACCCAGAATCCAAAATTACCGTCGACACCTTGCCCGGCTAGAAAACCAAATATATTGAGACGATAGCCGACCGCAATTACAATTGCTTTCAGATCAGCACCAGTCTCATCAACTAGCTCCCAAGGATCACTGTGCGGCGTGTGACAGGGGTTTCCCATTTGTAGCCAACCACCGTGCAGCCAGACATACACTGGCCAGCCATCTCCCGATTGCCGACCAGAAGCCGGCATCCATATATTTGACAAGAGACAGTCCTCGGAATTCTGACCAAGCGTGAGTCTTTTGCGTGACACCACTCTGGAAGATGCAGTTGACTAGTGGGACATCTTACCGACGTGCCTGGAACAGCTGAGAGGTTCTTCCCGTTCATAATGTAATCTGGCTGCGGGCATATAGGTCCGAACTTGGTACAGTCGTAAGGATGCCCTTCTGTGCCATAGGAATAATCAGGTGGCAGGGGAATGGTCTTCTGCCAACGACGCGGCCCAACTGGCGGAAGTGCGTAGGGCACCCCTAGAAACTTGTGGACTGAGGTCCCATGCCGTACACCGCGTAGGCTTCCATGACCCGGGATGGGAAGAATGATATCTTGGTGCACGGGCATCTCCTTAGGCGGTCGTGTTCAAACTAGTTAGGAAGTCGGAGGCTCAGCATTCAACCAAGTAGCAGCAGGAATGCGGTCAATTGCCGAAGAGTGGCGGGACTAGGGCCTCCCTCTATAAGCTTTCTGTCAGTTATTCACTCGATAATCAGTAGATAGAGATAGGTGATATCGTGGATTGATCCAAAGCCGGGTTGGTTAACTGTCCATTGGATGATTGGTGTGGCGTTTAGGGCGGTAAGATAAGAGCGTTTAGGGCGTCTAGAGCGTCATGATAGGCGGCAGATCTGCTTTAGATAAGATCACCACGGTAGGGTTGATATCTGTCCTGTACTGGTGATACGCCTCCAATTCTTGCATTTGTTGGGCCTAGTCTATGATGATATGAGCCTGATCAATCTTATTGGCTATGCCTTGCGGGCATGATTAGGACGAACGCTGATGAGATGCTGGTCAGCGTGTATATAACAACCATTGATCCTTGCTTCGTCGCTCGATTAGAATCGGCTCGAAAGTAATCATCGGGACATTGATGCGCTGATACAAACTTCGATCAAGAGGAAACATCTCCGACATGGCAGATAAGAAGATCGAACCGTTGAATATCACCAAGTCCACCGACAATGCTGGCGATAAGTGCGATGTGGAAGTGGGAACAGTAACGGAATTGGACCAGACCGAGATATTTCTGCGTGAGAACGGGTGACGCACTCCAAAATCCAGGAATTATCCCGAGATGAAGGTCGCGTCAAAGGTTTGGTGAGGCGCGTGGACTTAGTTTTGTTACCTCTCCTTTGCATCACCTTCATCTTACAATTTATCGATAAGCAAGTGAGTGGTGAGGCTTGAACTCTTATTTGAGGCTCACACTAGAACCATTGGATGCAGGTTCTATCTTACGGGGCTGTATTCGACCTTTTCACGGATACGAACATTACAAGTGAAGAATATAGCTGGCCAGGCAGCCTTTTTTACTTTGGTGCGCGAACAAAGATCTAGCGATCTTTTCATGTTCGCCGAGAGGCTGATAGGAAACAGGCTTTTTATTCGCGGAATACCCAGCCAGTTATCTTGGGCAGATCTTTCCGATTGGAAGGGTTTGTTCTATCTTCGTGTCCGTATATCTAGTGCCATTGATGTCTTCCGTTTCGAGTGATGATCTAATTACCTTTCCTTTGCAGGATGCTCTGGGGTATCACCACTATGGCCACTGCCGCATGCTACAACTTCCAAAGTCTAGCGGCTCTTCGATTCCTGCTAGGTTGTTTTGAAGGTAAATAGCGTTATCTTTGTTACAATCCTGCGGGTTCACGAACTAACTGTGACTAGCCCCTATCAGCCCCTGTTTCTTCATGATCATTGGGATGTGGTATATTCGAAGAGATCAACCCTTCCGTGCTGGAATATTCTACAGCTGCAACGGTCTTGGCGTGATGGTACGTGTGACTCAGACAAAGATCACTGTTTTCTAGATACTGATTGGAGACAGATTGGAGGGATCATGAATTACGGAGTTGGGCAACTGAAGTCGTTCCAGATTTGGAAGGCATTGTATCTGATTTGCGGTGGTGCAACCCTACTTTGGGGATTTGTTCTCCTTTGGTTACTGCCACAGAGCATCACAGATTGCAAACGATTCACAATCGAAGAGAGGGCAATACTCATTGGCCGGGTTGCGGCGAATCAGACGGTACATCTTCACTTCAAACCACAAGTCCCTGTGCTAATTTGGAGCCACCTTAATAGGGAATAATCAATAAGAAGTTTAAGTTATACCAGGTCCGAGAGGCTCTGCTTGATGGCCAGGTTTGGGTACTATTCTTCTTCACTTTGTTCAACGAAACGATTAACGGAGGTTATGCCACAGTAGGATTATTCCCCGGCCGTTTCTACTCTTTCAGCCTCAGACGTATGCTAACTGCTCTAGTTCGGTAAACTCATTGTGAAGGGAGTTGTCAATGGAGACACGCTAAAGACTGTTTTATATGCCTTTCCCTCGGGTGGCTTTCTTACCTTTTTCATCCTTAGCGGCACTTTCTTGTCAACCAAGTTCAAGGATAGCCGCACCATTGTCATGATAGTGTACCTCTTCCCTACAATTATTGGTACGACACTCGTCTGGCAACTTCCAAGGTCAAACAAGTACGGTCTTTTGTTATCGTACTACATCGTAAGCACTCACACAACAGTTGAGCTAGGAGAGGAATCCAGCAATTTCTGACCAACTTTCTAGATCAATTCTTTCGTTGCCTCTCTGGTTTTGTCTATCCAGATGGCTGGAGGAAATGTAGCAGGTTATACGAAACGTCTCACGTCAACATGCTTCATTTTTATTGCATATTGCGCAGGGAACATTGTCGGTCCACATGCATTTGTCGGCGCCGAATCCCCGACTTACCCCCCTGGATGTAAGGCCATTATTGCCTGTGCGGCAGGGCAAGTTGTTTGCGTTATCTTGTTGCGATTTCTCTTGGTATGGAGAAACAAACTGCGGGATGAAGCGCATGGCCCGGCTGAAGCAACAATGAATACGGAGGGTGCCATCCTTGATTTGACTGACTTTGAGGTACGTCACATCCAGTAAACTAAACTACCAAGCCTAAACTCACTCAAGCTCTAGAATCGCAATTTTCGATACCTACTTTAAGGCGAAGATGAAGTTGCTGGGCCTTTCTGCTTCTGTCTATTTAAGCCTTTGCACAAGCCAGGGGTTTACTTGCTATTCACACCGACATAGTTTCTGACTATAAGACGTCTAACGGATCTTAGGGTGTCTTCCTAGTTTAGCATGTTCTCACGTTGGTCAAACCTAAGGTCGTGATATATTAATCACGGTGCGGAAAATTTCTCAGATCTACAGCTCTAAGGATTGTGATCCATTGCCAAGCTAAATTGGGGTCAATCGATGCAACATGTTCATGGCCTAGTTTGTTATTCTTTCACGAGCAGTATTCTAGGATAGTATAACGAATAGCCTACAATGGAACTGATAGAACTCAAACATCTCTGAATATATGCGCAACCATAGGGCCTCTATTGTACTGATGAACCCGAAACTTCTCGAGACCTGTAACGAAGGTAGACAGGCTCCGCCGGCCGGTTGAACTGGTGAAGATTTCTATTTATAGGGGCAAGTGGCTCTGACCTGCTATTCCCGTGCTCGTCTGACAGTTCGAAGTCAAACTGGGAGACCAGATAGGCATTTACCATTGTTACTTCAAGCTTAGCGAGTCTCATACCCAGGCAAATGTGTCGTCCACTACCCCAGCCGAGGTACGAGTGAGGCTGTCTCATCTCCTCGGTAACATTGTTTTCGAAGCGGCGTGGATTGAAAGTTAGTGGATCGCGATAAATGTCCTCACTCAGACCCGTATTATCGACCAAGTATGCAACATAAGTATCTGGAGGAATGACTTCTCCCGTGTTACCGATGGGGATGTTGTTGTTCGTTGTGTTCTTGCGGAAGGCGGTGCCGGGCTGTCCGAGCCGGATCGATTCGCGCAATGAGAGATCTATGAATTTGAATTCCGTTTCCCACTGATCGAGACTGAGTGTGTCCAGCACGTCAGCTGGTGATTGGTCCTCGGATGCCCTGTATTTTGCAACGGCGCCATCAACTTCTTCCTTAACGCGGGCCTTGCATTCCGAGTTCGTTGCCCAGTAGATTGGCAGATAAGCAGCGTGAATTGTACTGTTGATAAGCCCGGCAACGAGTGCCGCTATCTCGAACTATTTTAAAACTTAAAATCAGTATGAAAACAGCAGAGTTGAGTGAATATGCGACGGTCAAGAACTTACTGCCACAATATCCTGTACACTCAAACCATCATCCATAAGTCTCTGAAAAGGATCGTCCACAGTCTTGCCCGATTTCTTCCTATCCTTGATGATCTTGTCAAATATCATGTACATCTTGATCCCATTAAGCATTTGAATCATGTAGTTTATTGTCGGAAGCCAAGGAAAGTAGATTCGTGTATAGCTCGCCCTGCCCTCAAATTCGCTTATCATCCGCAAGGTAGACTCCAGAACCTTGGGGTCCTCAGCAACCTCTCGTGCTCCGGTCGCGCGTACAGTGAGTTGGTATATCAGTCTCTGCATGAAATCAAATGGGTTCATCACCCTCCAGTCTTGGCCACGTCTGGCAAGTGGTGCATCGATAAGACCATCAAACGCTCGGCGTGAATCGGCCTTGAAGTGATTCAGCACACCAACCAAATTTGGGGTCCTGAGCAGAGTCGTGAGGACTTTTGTGAATAATTGATAAAATTCGTTTGACTCAGGGGCAGGAACTCCGGTCAACAAATCAGCATTTCTAGCAGGAACAATTTGATTAGCACGCAAATCCATCCACTAGACCCATATGAAAGAAGTCGTTGCCTGCGGCCCATTCCATTTGGTGTCCAACCTACCCCTGACTAATGGATAGTTCCCGGTTGTCGAAAAATGTCTTCTTCCCTTCGGAACCACTTAATCCCACGATAAGCTTTTTGCCGACATAAAAACTAAAGTTGCCCGTTTCAGTCGACCGTTGCGCCTCGAGATACATATCTCGACGACGTTTGTAGAAGCGCCATGCACCCACAATAGGCCAATCATTCTTGGTCCATTGCTTTGGGGCCTTTGGTGGTAACGGAGTCTTTGTCAAGACTTGGTGGAAGAGGGCACTGCCAATTGCCATGAGGATGGTGCAGATGACAGTGCCCACTATCTGCGGCCTCGCAAGGCCCGTGATTAGGTCAGACATTAAGAGATGGTGGAACGGGATGGGATGGGCAGGCCGAGATTTTGTGTTGCCAAATCAACCAATGTGGGATTCAAACCCAACAGTGAACAAATGCGAAGGCTCTGATTAGTTGCGCTGACATTGAGCTAAGCAACCGAGTGCTGAGCTAAGCAGAGTCATCGGACTATAATTTACCCGCACGCCATTTACCTACCCTAGAGCTCTATCATTTCTTTACTCCTAAGAACTCAATATATTCTATTTTATTTTAAGTGATATTAATTAAATTTATATTAAAATTAAATATTAATTAATAAATTAAATATTAAAAAAAAAAAAAAAAAAAAATTCTCTAAATTAATAAAAATATAAATATTTTATTTTAATTCTTAGAATTATCCATAGATTCATCAAAATATTACGATTCTATCTCCAACACAAAAGCATTTGAGTATAGACGGAACCTTGACACATGGCCCATGTTTTATGTCCAGGTCTTAGTTGGACTGGTTGGAAGGCACGTGTGCCAAGAAGCTGCAAGGCAGCCCGATGAGGTTGCATTAATCCTGCCTAATCTTACAGGCCTCTGTTAAGACTTTTCATCTGGGAGCTTCTCAACTTGAGCATAAGACACTTAAAAAACAATTCCGCGTTGATTTGAGATGATGAAGGACCAAACCCCAAGACCTGGCGGTGAGACAAAGGACGAGGTTGATAACCGACAGCTCGATTTGGGCGAGGCTTTTACCTGGGACGATGTTCCAGATTTCGACCTAGAAGTCCAAAGACTCGAAGACAGCCTCGAGATCGCTGGAGACGTGTCAACGCGTGCTGTACAGCTCAGAAATCTAGGGAGAGCTTATGCTAACAGACATACGGTGACGAATGAAATACTGGATCTCAACAAAGCCATCCAAAACTATCAAGAGGCTCTAAGGCTGGCATCTTCTGATAATCCCTCACAAACAGGTGACTTGGCTGGCCTGGCTATAGCTACCTACCAGAAATTCTTACAAAGTGGTGAGAAATGCGATATAGACAGTTGCATCCAATTGCTCGAAGAGTCTCTTGAGAGCTCCGACGCTCAGTATATCACCTCGCTACATCGACAAAACATCTTAGCGCAAGTATACCATTCAAAGTGGAATATATCCAGAGAAGATGCTCAAGATCTCGACCAGTCCATAGGTCTGTTTGAACAGATTATAGATCTTGAATCTGCAGACAATGCTTCTCACACAAACTCGTTGATGAAACTCGGGGTGCTGTATGAGAACAGGTTTGACAGGACTGGGAATTTAGAAGACTTGAAATCCTGCTTGAAGCGATCTCAAGACGCGCTCATTGTCCTCGGTTCTGGCAAATCTCAGAAGAGAGCGGAAGTACTCCTAAATCTTGGAACTGCCTTTGGGAAAAGATTCGATCGTCTAGGAGACACGGAAGACCTCGATTGTTCCATCAACTACTATGGCGACGCTGTGGAGGCTTCTCCAGACAACACATCGCCATTAGAACGTTATAGCCTCATGTTGCATCTAGGGTTGGGGCATGCGAAGAGGTATGAGAGCCTTGACTCTAGAGAAGATCTAGATATTGCGATTCGAGTTCTGAAGAGTGCCGTGGATCTCGTCACGGAACACAGCGCATTCCAAGTATCTGCCATGCTGCACCAACAAAAGTTCAACCGATCTCGCGCCCTCACCGACCTTGATGAAGCAATTGCCTGGCTGCAGAAGGCTGAGGACCTGGTACCACATGACAAAACTGTGAGAATCACACTCTCTAGTGGATTGATTTCCGCATTTGCCACCAGGTATGAGATATTTGGATACACCAAAGATGTCGAAGAGTCTATTCAAAGAATTCCCGAGGCTCTCTTACTTGTCGAGGACCAGAGCAGAGACTTAAAGTCGGACCTTCTTGAAACTATAGTGGAATTATACATGTCCACGTATAAAAGATCCAAACATCAAGAAGATGCGGATTTGGCAATTGAATATGGGCTGCAAGCGGTTGATTTATTTTCCAAAGACGATCCGCAGCTGGCAAGAATTCTCGACTCCCTTAGCAATACATTCGAGATAAAGTATAGAGAAACTAGGTCAGAGGAAGATTTTGAAATATATTATGTTAGGGGGAAAAACGAATAATACTACAGCTATTAGCAAGCTTAAAATACAGACTGCTAACTATACTAAAATCTAATAACCTTCTATAATAGCTATAAAAAGGAGGTTTTAAGTTTTATATATATTCTTATTTAATTAAATAGATTATATTTATAGCTAGTTAATTAACTAATTATAATTACTATAAGATTATAAAAGATATATCTTTTATAAGAAGGGATTTTTAAAAGTAAAAATAAGAAGAGGTAAAAAGTATATCTTTTACTATAGATATAGAAAAATAACTAATTTATCTAATCTAGCTGAATTAATAAGTAAGCTCTAACTTATAGCTCCCTGGATATAATATATATATCCTTATATCTCTATTATATCTAAATCTTAGAGCTAATATAGATATCTAGATAACTTCTAAATTCTATCTTTTTATAGAGATCTATTTAATTAAATAGTTATATATAATTTTAAATTAAAAAGTTAGTAAGTTCTTATTATATTAATACTTAAAGGGATTACCCTCTCTCTACTTAAAGATATTATATTAATATTTATTTATTTAAAATTATATATTATTAATTCCTTCTTTTTTATAATTTTAACTTTAATTATTATTACTCTACTTTATATAATCTCTTATATAAATAAAGGAAATAATTAAGAGTATATAAGCTTAATTAACTATACTAATTATATCTTTTTTTACTAACTTCCTATTAAAACTATTTAAAGTTATTTCTTTACTTTAATATCTATATAATTATATTACTCTCTATAGTTAATTCCCTAATAGAATTTAAACTCTAATATTCTTATATTATATATAGAACTATTTAATTAAATAATTTCTATTTTTTTTATCTTTTTAAAAAATCCTATTAAAATTCTAAGAGTTAATTTCTCCCCCCTACTCCTACCTTTAAGATTATATATTATATTATATATATTATTTAGTTTATAATAGTTTTATTAAACTCTTTTCTAAAGTAGTACTTTTAAATAAAGCTATATTAATATTATCCTATACTATAGAACTTATAAGATTAACTAGAGCTATAATTATATATATATATATAATCTAATAGTTATTTATTCTAAAGATAATAAAAACTAGCTTACTAGCTAGATAGGGAAGTCTGGTTTAATATATAAATTTTTAGAATTCTTATATAATAAGAGTTTAAATAAGATTATTTCTATATTTATATAATAAGTTATTAATAAATAACTTCTTAGATTATCTCTATATTTCTCTTATTATTTACTATTTAATATTAATAAGAGTATTTCTAGTTCTAGTTCTACTAGAAAGTAGTAGATTAATTCTAAGTAGTATATTATCTTTTATAATATCTATTATAATAGTAAATTAGCTAAATACTTAAGGTATTCCTAGAGTAGATATAGAAGAATAATATATCTTATAAAGAATAGAAAGTAGAGATAGTAATATTTCTCTTATTAAGGGTAAAAACTTAGAAAGTAGAGGAGAAAGTAGTATATTAAGTTATATTAGACTTCTAGATTTAAAACTAGATAAACTATAAATACTTAAGTTTTACTTATACTATTTAGATTCTTTATCTAATTACTATTAGAACTTATTAATCTTAATAGAGTTCTAGAGGTAAAAAGTTCTAGGAATCTTAATAATATAATAGTTATTAAGATAGAATTAGAAATTAATCTTAAAAATAGATATAATATTCCCTTCTCTTCTAGTAGCTACTACTAAATTATTAGTCTTTTTATAATTTCTTTATTTCTATATAATATTAGTATATAAATAAGGACTAGATACTTAGATTTAATATATAAAGTATTTAATTAAAGTATTTTCTAAGAAGATATTATATAATTAGATTATAGGAGTAAAAATAAACCTTTTACCTTCTAGAGTAGATAATAGTAAAAATAGTTAAAGATCTCTTTCTATAGGATATATAAAATAAACCCTCTATTCTTATAACTTTTAATATAGCTTCTTAAGCTTAATAGAATATATTTCTCTAATATTTAAATAAGCTTTTTAAGTAGGTTTTTAGCTAATAAAGTTAATATTTATATAAATAGCTAGGTTAATATATTTTCCTTCTTTTATCTACTTAGTAACTCTATTAGTTATTACTTTTATATTAATTCTTTCTAATTTATTTAAATATATCTCTATTATAAATAGGGATATCTATACTAAAAACTCTAAAGTATTTATCTAGTAGTACTAGTTTCTAATATATAATTATAATAGTAGTATAATAAGTAATTAAGAAAGCCTACTTTAATAAAGTATTATACTATTCTTAAGAAGTTCTATAAGGTTTAATTTATAATAGCTCCTTAGAACTTACTAAATATAGAATATTAATAGGAGGCTATAGGTCTAGTTACTTTTCTAATTAAGAACTAGATAATAAACCTCTAAGAAATTATAAGATTATCTCTAGTTTAATAGGAATATTTAGAATATAGTTATAAATATAGTAAAATAAAGTTATCTTCTATAAGTAAAAGTATTATAATAATAGATAATTAATACTTATTAGTTAAGAATAAATATAATCTAATAAGTTCCTTCTTCTTTATTAATATCTTTAAAGTTAATAATACTAATAAGAAAATTCTAATTTTTAATCTTCTTTTAGTATTCTTTAGTTAATTAGAAACTATCTATAAAATTATCTCTAATAGCTATAGATCTAGAGATAAATCTTCCTAATTACTCTCTAAGTTTATAAAAGAAATTATTTAGATTTTTAATCTCTAGATTAATATTAATAATAAGTTTATTTAGGAGATAGGTTATAAAGTATCTAAAACTATAGGTTAATATTACTTATAGTATCTAGATCCCTTTACTTATAAGCTATTAATATTTATTAATATTTAGTAAGATATTTTAAATATATTAAAGATATTATTAAGTACTTACTCTAACTAAAGGTAATAAGTACTAATCCTTACTCTTTTAAGTTAGTATAAGCTTAATATATTTAATATCTTAATCTTATTTAAGATTAGAAAGTAGTACTTCTTTAGAGCTAGATTTAAATAAAGAATATTCTAATAGATTTAAATACTTATAGGCTAGTTATTCTTATTAATAAAAGAAGAATAATAGCTATCTATAAGCTCCCTATTAATATTAAAGATATATCTATTTTATAGAGTTATCTTAAAAGATACTCTTACTAGTTTTAATAAATCCTTATATATCTAGTAATAGTATCTTCTTTAATCCCCCTATTATAAAAAGAGTAAAACCTACTATTATAGATTAGAAAGCTTTTAATTAAATAGTTAGGATTAAATTTCCTTAAGATCTATATTATAATATTAGAAAAGAGAGAAAAATATATAGTAAGTTTAGAGAGTAAGTTTATATTAGGTAGTAGTAGGCCTATATATTATATATAAAATATATATTATTATTATAACTTTTCTATATAACTCTTACCCTTTTATATTTTTAAATACTCTTTCTTTATATATTCCCTTAGAACTCTTTATCTATAAGAGCTTTACTTCTAATTAAAAAGCCTCTTCTTCTTCTTATTCTAGCTTATCTAGTAGATCTAGTTATAATATAGATTATTTCTAGGATATTAAGTATAATAAACTCCTTAATATTTATAATACTATAGTAGTTCTTTTCTATATTAGGGAATTTAAGTCTATCTATAGCTTAAGTTAGAATTAGTATATTATAATTATTCCTTTTAAGGAATTTATTAAACTTAACTTTATAGAAACTCTTATAAAAACTCTTATAATATAGTTCTATAATAAGCTTATTCTTAACTACTATATTAATCCCTTATACTATAAACTTACTTATATTAAAGATAATAAGAGTAACTAGAAGTAAGCTTATAAGGCTTTTTAGAAGATAATTAGCTCTTATTATAATAATACTATAATTACTATTATTATTTATACTTATATATTACTCTATTTAGTTTATTTTCTAACTAAACTTAGTTATTCTTAATTAGTATTTCTTATTAATCTTATTTATAAAAAGCTCTAGTTTAAGACTCTACTTATTACTTTTTATAGATAGTAAAACCTAATTACTTATTATTATTATATTATATTTTTTTTAATTATTTATTCTTAGTCTGAATACTATATTATATTTCCTTTCTTTAAATATATATCTCTTAGAAACTACTTTTAAGGTTCTTATATAAATTATCTTTATTATATATATAGTAATTATAAGTATTACTTTCTTAATTATAAGCTTAAGAACCCTTATAAAGATCCTATTACTAACTCTCTTTATAATTATAATATAGTTAAATCTTCTATCTATACTAAAGAGATCTTATTCCCTAAGATAACTCTCTATCTCTATTAATACTAGCTTTCTAAGCTTAAGAATAATAAATTACTAACTAAGGAGGATATTATTTAGTTTAGTATTTAGATTAATATAGAGATATAATTTCTTAGTTATAAGTATAAAATAATCTTAATCTAAATAGGCTTTTTATAGTTTTTAGTTAATTATTAGGCTTTTTATTATAGGATTTTAATTAAATTAACCTATTATAATTAGAACTATTTAATTAAGTAGTTTTATAATAATAAATATTAAAATCCTCTTCTTACTATTTCTTTATATTATTTTATTTTACTTAAACTAACTTTCTTAGTATTATATATATAATTCTTATTATATTATATATAT